TTCCACTTTCTAGCCATCGAAGCACTCTTCATTTCCGAAGTTCGGGATACCTTTCCGTAGCTGCTGTATTTTTACTTATATCATGCAATTTGGAGGTCTTTTTAAAAATAAGTCACAGGCAACTACGGGTGAAAAATGAAGTCGGGATCCCATATCGATGAGGACTGGCAACCCAGCATTTTGTCGGTATCTGTGTTTCACGAACGCTTTCCTTGGAGATGGTTTCTTCTTCTACTGTTGGATCAAACAGAAACTTCAACTTCGGATTCCGAGGTCGGAATTGCTGGTTGTAGGAAATCTAACTAGCCCATTAAGTTGGAACATGCTAAAGAGTTATCCATCATCTCCTAACGGTGGTTAGCAGAACTTCTGATGTGTAGCATGTATATGAATGACCGGAAACGAAACGTCCCATTCGAATGTTTGGGGCCTTTGATCAATTTCGCCTGACGCATCCTCTATACAGTGTTTTCTTTTCTATATTTGCGCACAAATACATTTCACTCTCTATTAAATGTTGAATCCACAAAACCGAATATGGCGAGAAATCGTCACAAGCGACCCCTAACAATATTCAACACCATGTTATTACATGTTTTCCTTTTTTTTTTATCGCACATAGGGCATATACTCCCATATCGATCGTTGGCTTTGAATCGTTGAATACTATGTCTTTTTTTTTTTCTTTTTTCTAATAGAGAATCACAAAAGATTCAATTGGTCAAACGATTTGATGAATATCAATTGAAACCGCGATTTTTTTTAACCGGACGAGAAGGCCGGAGCTGAGCCTATCACCGGCACAGCATCTTCTGTTCGAGCTCATGTTAAATTAGGTCTTTTTTTTTTGTTGAAGGGCGTAGTCACTCAGGATAGGTTTATATATATACATGCTGGCTCTAGACAGCTGATGAATGCATACAGTGATTTTCAACTCGACGGAATGTATTGCTATAAACAACCTGACAGCTAGATATAACGCTATATAGTTATTTAGCACTATAGAACTGGAGCTAGCGGATCTTATACATTGCGATTAAGCAAGCAGTAGTATGCCATTCATGCATATGGACTCTGTTTGTTTCGATTAATAGACAATAACACTTGAGCGGTGTATATCAGTGATGGAAATAATTATTATCTGCCTTTAGGCTCCCCTCTATCAGGAAGCATGGGGTTTATGTTGTTAATGCGCGTCTATTGAATGCAGACGTTTAAATCTGAGCGTTGGCAAAACGTGATATAATAAGGACAGTATGGAAATAAACGAAGAAAACTAATTAAAGAAAATAAAACGTCTTGATCAGATGTAATGGTCGTTCGACTTGTTTGTCATAGGTCCGTCGACCGTAAGCCCCACAGAACCCGCTGCGTTAGATCCCTTATAGGGAAAGGTCTCTGATGTACCAGCTTAAAATAGATGACTTCGAGGACTTGTTCACCTAGGATAAATTGTTAATTATCCATAAAGAGGCAAGTTCTAAATACGATCAACTATACTGGCCAGGTAAACTGTCGTAAAATCGTTACTAAACAATTGATCGAAATATTGCTCTGCTACACAATTCACAAGAAACAAAACGGCGATATCTTCGGTTTCATAAGCACCAATGGTTTGTCATGGAATATGCAGCCAGACGACGAAACTTGCCAACAATTTAGTATGTGTTTGAGTAAGGAATGGGCAAATGCAGATTACGGGTGGACTGCACTCACAAATATCCTACCAAATGCCAAAGAAACTACAATGTTGTTATAATATAAATTCGTACTAGAAAGTCGTTTGATGATCTGCAGCCCGTTTGCTTTACGAAACTACCAACTGTAACCTCACACGAGTCCGTAGGTTGCCTCCATGTAAATGGCGTAGAGCTGTTATAGTATCTAGGCTTTGTTCCTTCAACATACTTGCAATTTGCATTTTGCCTGATGGGTAATCTATTAAAAGTGTCCTGTTTGTAGTCCAACAAGCGGTTTAGCCTATTTTGAACCTAATGTGTAATTTTAAAGGTATTTAATTTATTATAGGGAACTATACACAGTCAAAATTACTGGTAAATAGTTTAGTATAGGTAACAACGAACATTTACAAACTCGAAGTATTCGAGCACGACTAGGCGATACTTTACACAATCGCTGACTTATTTTGATGTTTCTTTTTCTGTTACCAATAGAAGCAAGCTTGACGCAGCGAAATGTTCGTAGCAGCGATTTGCACTGCTTGTCAGAAATAATAACCTCATCTATATGATGTCCACGTGTGTAAGTTCTTCAGCGGAACAACCTATATGGTCCATACTGCTGTGGGCAGCTCTTACAACGAAAATAACTCTCTTAGCCTGTAATACAAATGGAAACGTAATAACCCCTAATGAGTTTTCGCATTAAGGTTAAAGAGCGGTACCGCAGCCCGTTGTAGGAGCGACAATCGAGAGTCCGCAGCGCACGAAGTGGAAAGCTACCTACCATCGTGCAGCGCCAGTTTCTATTTCAAAGTCTCGCCTCGAAGGAAATGAATAGCTCTTCACCGCTGGCAGAAGGTGAGCCAGGAGTAATGAAGCACGGTACGTCATTCTCTCTAACAAGTCTTCAGTGACGTGAATAAAAATCTCGTCGGGGCGGCTTCGATGCAGTGGAAAAAACGCAGCAAACTCCTGATGCTGCTGTGATGCACCCACTATCGATAACTGTCTTTAGGGCTCACTAGGCTTCAAAAGCAGTCTCCGTTGCGAATGGTTTGTCCTAGGCATAGCCCACCTCAGTAACCGTAAATCCGCGCATTTGTCCAGATGTGGGCGGGCGGCAGTCCTGGTTTGCTTTCGTTTTTCTATGATAAAGCAGTATGCTTCCGAGTCGCTGCTTAGAAGCTCCTGCAAACACTCGAACAAACGTACTCTGATGCTGGTTTTGTATCGTTTATGAGATTAACAAGCAGAACGTCCAAGTGATTGCCCCCGTTCCGTGCTAGATACGTTAATAGTGGCGACAAGACAATTTACTCTAACTTAAACTTACTTATCAAGAGTCTAATCTGAAGTATATTTTCACTTGTTATCTATGTACCACGGTAGATGCTGGATCAATCGTCGCAGGATGATTAGATATATTTATGTTTTAGGTCTGTGTAAGAAGTCGAGAACTTCATCATATATATGAATATATTTTACCCAAAGCATTTTGTCGTTTGTCGATGTAAAGAGATGTTCCGGACCTGCAGCGGAAAAGTTCCCAATAGCTGAAGTTTGTGATCTTTAGCTTTTCACACACGATATCACATGCTAATTCGAGTTGGATCTGTATGTTTCTATGTTACAGATACTAGAGTGTTAAATCGAATGACAGCCTTTCTCTGTAGCCAAATTCTTCATTCATAAACTGTACGGTTACTCACGAGGAAAGTTATGAGCAGTGAAAGAGCATCTAATAATGTATCGACGGCTTCATACGAATATCTTTTTAGCATAAAAATGGAACTAGAAGTCGTTCTCTCTTGAAGAATAATGTTTACTAACTAGCTAGAACTCTGGCAGTTTGGCAGTAGAAGTTTGGCAAATACTTACTAGAATATAGATGTATGAAACTTGCTGCTAATGTAAGTAGACGCTAGAATTACAACTTTTGAAAAATGTTACTTAGGTTGAACAACCTATAATGGAAAATAGCGTGATTTTTCCAAAATGTTGCACCGAATCATTCAGTTGCTCAATATAGTAACTAACATTTTTAAGTTGGTAGTGATACTTCCGGTTATTCTTATCTTAAGTAAAACACTTCATCTAAGCTAGCTCTCCTAGGAGACATCGGCTCCTTTCGAAGCAAGTCTTCAATAATCTGACGTCTGAAATCAAACCATCCATGGTCACGATGAAGGTAATTACTTCCTTGTGAAAAAAACTTTTCGTCTGCACGTTCAGACACGAACGACAAAATCATGCAAATCTATTTCAATCAGTGTTCATATCCATTAAGTTCAGCTTGCGATAAATTAAGAACAGAACCATTGATTGTTCTGGTACGATATCAACCACGAGTTGCTCTTTCCGACTTCTACGTTTTGAGCCAATAGCTCACCAGCTCTGATTTATCAATTCTTACAAAATATAGTAAATAAGGGTCAGAAGAATTAGACATAGTTATTGTAGAATATCCGTAGTGCGAAAAGTGAAGCAATAACGGTGATATTTCTACGCTAATATCTCTATCTATATAGAAGCTTTAGCTAATGACAATCCAATAGAACATAGATCAACCAAAAACATACAAATGACGCTCGGTAAGGGCACTTTGTTCCGCGCTAAAAGTCAGCCGTCTACAGTAACACTATACGGGAATATAGAATTCGGAGTATTTATTTCGATTACGCAACTTATATACGTCCATAAGCACTAGAGATACAGCAATAGGGAAGAAGCATAACATTTAGCCGCTATACCCTATTCAGTGGAGCATATGTCAAACAGAACCTGTCGCAGTTTTCGTTTGATTAAAACTCGCAATATTTTATTCTTTTATACATTCGTTATTAGTACTCTCTTAACACATTTACATCCTTTAACAGTACATCGATTGTACTGTTGGTAAGTTTCCATGTACTTTTTCTACCGAAAACATTCTCAAGAAGAAACTCTTAACTCGTATCTTCTTCGGTAATCTCGCAGTTTCGTCCCCCTACTAACGTTATAGAAATTCATATTATTCTCTCTATTACCAGCCTAGTTGATTTATTCCAGTCGCCCAACCGATTACTTGATTTAGGTTAATAGCAATGGTAGGTAGGTAGGTATGTTGTGTTTTATCGTGAATGTCTGTATTATTCGTGCTTCGTACAAATTCAGCAATTTGTCAAAGGTAAAATCACGCCACTCTAATGAGATCTGTGGCGGAATTCACTTAGCGACTTCTGGCTACTTTGGTGCCTTCAAAGTTGCTGAGTGAATTCGGCATACAGTTCCAAACGCTGTGAAGGCTTCAATGTATCGACTTAATTTTTTTCATTCGTACTTCGCGTCCATTTCATACTCGCAGGCTCCGGAGCTAGCAGCTAACGAAAACAAACGGGATAGTTTGTTGAAAGATAAGTCTTCATGCAATGCATTCTGTGCACACGCACACGTGTAACATATGCAGTTATATAGTAATGTCTCTTAGCTTTGTTGACTATTCTTTGCGATTAGGTGAAAACAATAGTATGCAAAAGTGGCTATACAAAAATGTTTACGCTACATCGAGGTGCTTTCAAGCGAAAAAACCTATCTAAAAAAATGCATTGAAGTCATAGCTTTTGGCTTTGCAGTTACTGAGGGCTGATTATATAACTGTCCCTACAGAGTCGCTGACTCCAAGACTGGTCAACGCACACCCGCAAATGTAAACCTGCATAGACGCTTCCAGCCATTCGCGACCCACATAGCGACGGCGACGGCGACGGCGACGCGTAAGGCCCAGTCCGGAGTTATCTTCGTATCAGGAGTTGCGATACTTGAAACGCCCGCTCATCCATCATTACTGTTGATCCTTATCAAGGTATAATCCTCTCGACCGTTGACCATCTATAAGACTCTTCCACTGAACTAACCATCGATGTGAATGGTTTCTCGCAGAAACACTGGCGCTAGTTCTTCTGATCGACTCATATTATTTCTTGCTAAAGGACACACCGGTGTCAAAAACAAATTGTAGGCATCACTGGTGAAAAGTAATGATCCGAACTGCCTCAGCATGCACGGCAGACGGCGTTCGTAAACAAAATAAAAGCTCGGAAAAAGGCTAAATTCCCGGACATAAACAAGGGAAGATGGAACGAAACATAAAGCAGTGAGTATTATAAGCTTGTAATAACTGGTAGTGTAGAGTGAGTAAAATCCACCCCAGAGTCGATGGAATTGGCTCGTCCTACACGTTCCTTGAGTTCTGTCAAAACAGGGGGTTGTACTGTCTCCTTATTATTGTAGTCGACCACATGGCTACGATCTATTCCTGAGTCTTCCATAGTGTTGTCAAGTCCGTCGCCGTCGTCATCGGTTCCATCTGCCATCGGTTCCGAAGCCAGAATGGAAGTCATCACTTCAGCCCTGTGGTTGTCGTTCACTAGCTGGTTGATTTCGTCAACGACTTGGCTGAACCCGATCAAGGGGTCGGGGCTAGAGAATTATTTTGAGAATGTTCACAGGAAGAGAATGGAAGTTGTGAATTAGCCACCCACACAGGTGTTTGGCAGAGGGCACTCGACAACAAGACCAACCATACGTATGGAAATTTCGACATTTGCTTTACTGCCAAACTAACGAAACATCTATATCGATGAAGATACGTATTTATGAGGATTGGGTTCCGTGAGCGAGAAGTGACGCTAGTGGTGGAAATTTTGTGGGCCACAAAAATCTAGTTGTTTGGTATGAAAATTTATAGTATTTAACGAAGGATCTGGTTTTCCATTAAAAACATTGAGTTAATGTGACATAAAATTCCTATAACAATAAACGCACAGTTCATAGATGAATTACTTCAATAAAAGACGTATATTTACGCAAGAAGGCACCATGCATGTTTGCTAACCTAGGACCTTAGAAGAGAATACAAAAATAACATCGTCAATGCACCGGTAATATTGCTTTCTTATGCGATTAAGGGAAGTTTTAATACTATTGTGTGGTTTTTATGTTACTTACTCGACACTCTTAACGCAACCCAGGACAGCAGCGACTATGCAACTCTTGAACTGAAGGACCGTTTCGCCGTTCTCATGTACTGAGAAGGCAAGGCTAGTCTTCAGTCCTGGAAATGACTGGACATCAAGGCCAACGACTGCCCTCTTCTCGACCCATTTCATTGTTGTAAGCAAATTTTGATGCTGTAATTGATGAGTGCCAGATTTGTGACCGTGCAGTTTCTGTAAATGAAAAAGCCCAAACGAACACCCAGCCGATGGTAACGACATTTACCAAGATCTTGAAAAACAGGCTTATTAATACAAAAATTGTACGCGTATTCACGTATGATTCTTGTATTAATTGAACGTGCTTCGGCACAGGTTCGACCCGACCCACTGGTTCATTTATGGCTGATATTTTTCTGTTTTGCCACGGATAACAGGAGGACCCTTGCGAAATTCAATGACACTACAACGTCAATCATTTTTTCGTATTGTAATGTAAGGTAATTTTTTTTCTGTTTCTAATATGCGATACGGTTATTGTACCTAATGGTCGGATCAATAAAAACTTACCTTAAAGATAGTATTAAGACTAGTCGCTTCAAATTGGCATGACGTGAACATTAGTGTTTTAATTGTGATTCTGTCGATTTCATGGGCAATTTCTTTGCTAATACGTTGTCCAACAATTTCAAGTCTATTGAGACTACTTAATGGGCCGAGAATACTTGGAAGCTGTGAGGCCGCTTCGGTGAGCTCGAGCTCTTCAAGGTGACGCACCTCCACCTCAAAAAAGTTAGTGAAAAGTTAAATTTTTCAGTCGTTCTTATACATCTCTTGTCGGGCTCTCCTTAACTAACAGGGGATAATAAATACCAGTTCAAAGAGAAGCTAGACCTAGCTATGGAAGGCTCATTTCAAGACGATGTCAGCTTTTTGCATTAATTATTCCCAGAAGACGTAACACAGTCGTTATATCATCATCATCAAACTGCTGTGCTGATGCCATCGACTGTGCACGGTCTGTTTCTGTTTGCTATAGCGTCTTCGAGTGATAGAGCAAAAGCGCACCGGTGACTATTGTTTATACGTCGCTCACCTTGGTTGTGTACGATTTGTTACCATGTAACTCGCCCTGAATTCTCATACGCTTCAGATAGAGTAAATCGCCATTTTTGGAACGCTTAAACTTCACCGAGATGATTCGATCATCTAGTAAGAGCTGTTGAATACTGCAAAACAACACGAACGCTATTTAATAATTTGTTAGTCCGCTTTCTTATATGATAATACATAAAATATTGTAGATTTCCAGCGATCAACTAGCGAAGCTGCTTCCATCCAATTTCTGTATACTATGCGCATGCTTCGTGTCATATCCATTCTGTTACTAGTTAACGCTTGTATTGTCAACAGCTCATTCCTTACTCGTAACGGAAAAACGTTTTCATCTGTTGAGTATGTATATGGTCGTCCCAAATTTAACATTCACCTGTTTTTTTCTTGCCGCTTTTCACACCAATCTGAAAATCACAGGAGAACAAATTTATCAACTCAACTCAAGTGTGATTCTGTCTTTTTTTTTCCCCCCGGCCCGAACCTCGTTTTCTAATTTTGCAGGTAGCACATTCAGCCTGTTCAGCTAAACCGGCAAAACAGACATAAGGCAATAACATTTAAAGTTGTTAAATAATTTCGATTTGTTCGTGAATTATGTCTCTATATGTCTTCATACAAGCGACTCAATAGACGTAAATTAGGCACTTCGTGGAATTTTTACCGTTACGTGTTGTCGTTTCTTGTTTTTACCGTATTATGGATGCATTTACATAATAGAAATAGTTACGTTCCACGCAACAACCTCAACCAGTCCAAACTTTCACACAGATACATCCGAATCGTAGAAGCAAATCAACTAACAACGAGGCCAACGAAAAATGTGGCGCTGTAATTCTGCAACCAGTTGACGCCAGACCCATTTTCGAGTTTTCGGCCCGACGAAGTCAACAAAATACATTCTAATCACAACATGGCATAGTAGTTATACCTGCACGCAGTTCCTATCTTCTCACTTTTATAGGGCACCTTCTTTTCTACCTTCTATCATTAAATTTTTCTGCAAAAAAACACCATTCACTTTCGGTCATACTGTTAACTTCACTTACCTGCTAGGACACCTCGGATGAGCTTGAAGATGCGCGGAGCCATCACCTATGGCTAGATCACTGAGAGATGCCAAAACGAACTATCGTTTTGGCCTGCTGTTTACTTTGTGATCAGTTTACTGTCATTATAAGTCACGCGAATCCAGATGACCAGGATTTTCAAAACGTTTGCAGACGCATTGTGGAAGTGGACTTACTGAACGCGACACCGTGGGGCCACGTACCGTCCACCAAAGCAGTGCAAAAATGCTTGCTTTTGTTTTGTCAACGTAGGTATGATGTCCACAGTATGGAAGAAACCCAGTAGATTGGCGGGCATGCTAAAAGTTAATGAAGTTACTAAATATGAGTCGAGAATGACCGAGGGCAAGGTGTAGTGCCACTTTTGAAAGCATAAGTTAATTATTGTTCGGTAAGTTCCTATAGCGGATAGTGGGACTATCTAAAGAGCGTTTCAATCATCTAATCGAACAAGCTCTTGCAGGCAGGGTGGCTGGAAGCGTTTTTGAGATCGATGCTGAATAGTCTCCACCTTACGCAATAGCTGTCAAGCCTATGTGGTTGATTGGGAAAAAAAGTATCGTTATTGTAGGGGTCGATGTCACTGGTTTGGCGCAGTTTTCGAGGTCCAAATGAACGGGGCAACGCGAATAACAGGGCTCTATAAGCTTTATAGATTAGATATAATATATTATTATTTATATACAGAGACTTATAGGTTTAGCTTTTGTCTCGACGTTTACTGGTACGAGGGGCTGTCGATGAAAGTTCTGTAGATACAGTGTTGTGTAAACGGCATATTTAGCAATCAGCAAGCTTGTGTATAGACAATTCAATCTGTTATAACAACAGCCGCTTCGTCCCGGTTCTTCTCTTGAACATTCTCCTATGACAAGGTACAATGATAACTCATTGCATGTATGTACCATAAAAAGCATTTGACATTATCCAGCGCACATAGATAATCAACGGGACGAACTTTAGGGAAGCGCATCTTACCACGATCGAAGTTTGTGCTTTCGACCTAACTAGAGCACAAAGAGGCGAACACAAGTACTTTTCGTGTGCTTCTATTACGAGCTGGTATATAGCTGTCTTCCACTGAGTTAACGTTAATAGGTGTGATCAATCTGAGAACTTGTACCGCACAACACCGATCGTAAAATGTACACAATCAAATAGTAACATAACATGTGCCGCTATCGTTCCTGGCCAATATTAGCGTCTCATATTTAATGTTACATTTAGCGTTGCAAATAGCGCGCTTGTTTATCGTGGGTTATTTGACACGCATTCACGGCATTTGTTAATTATCGAAGTATACTGTTACTCTTACCAATTGAAATGAGCCTCTTGCATGAAATGACTACTAACCCTTAACGTGAAGCACGAGCTAAGTACTAACTGAAGTGTTCCACTGACCCCAAGTTACAGAGTCGGGCGCGCAAGCTGAAATATGAGTTTTTTTTTTCAATCGTTTGAGCCATCGTATGTATCTATTTGGCACTTTGTAAGATTGGTTCTGAGAGCTTTGTTTAGAAAAGGCAAGTCCGCAAAAGTGTTGACCTTTTATATTATCAGTTCCAGTTTACATGCGGAGAAGCACTAATTTTGTATTTAAAGAAAATATGCTATTGCGTCACTCGTCCTTTTATCTCCACAGTGAACACTTAGGTGTTATTAACTTGAAATGCTGGTCTACTTTTTACAGGTGCACATAACGCAACACGACAGAATTGCTCGTGACAATAACTTTCCAGCGTTATTTCTAGTACGACTGGACGTAATGAACTTTACCCATTTAAGGGAAAGGGGGCAAGGGCTCATAAGGCTTTAAGTTACAAGGAGCTGTTCAGTGCGAGGCGGCCATCTAGGCTAATCTATTTCAACGACAGCCACGTATGCATCGGTCATTTTAATTATCAACAACAGGTGTCGAATTTTACAGGAGCCGTCATCGAGTTCGCGGAGAAGGACAAAGCTAGCATAGAGGCGCACATAGCTCCAAGGTTTATCAGGCAAAGAGATTTGGTGTGGCATCAGATTGTAGTCGGTACGCATCGTATAAGATATGCTGGCCCTTGAACGATTACCTTCCGGAGCCAGCTTTTAGTAAACCAAATTGTCAATCAAGAGATTAAATAATATCTCGTGGGCAACGCTAGCCACGACCACACTGAAAAGCTGTTTATCAGAATTGCTGACAAAGGAAGCCCGACAGAGGCTGGAGTTCCGAGACTATTCGAATATCTTTAATCACTTGCTTTTTGCTGATGTTAGCTAAATAACACTTCGGGATATGACAAGGTTAAGCTTGCCAGTTAGGTTTGCCGAACGGCCCTAAACCCCCAACGAAACGAAGAGACGGTAACTCCAGACAAATTCGTCATATTCATGTAGACCGTGAATAAGTGTCCCCTATAAATATAGGTCGGCGTTAACTGCTTGCGTATTTACTTCCGTAGTTGATCACATTTTGTTATTTACTGCTGCTATTGGAAGATTGCTACAATCCTTTTAGTGCTTGTTGAAAAGGTTTTCACCACAACACCGATAGAGTTCTTCGATGGAGTGCATTTTTCAACGTTTGTTTTCTAAGTAAAATTACCGCCATTTATGAATTGTATACATGCAGCTTTTCTTGGCTATTGCAAGCTAATTTTCGTGTCTTAGGGACGCATATACTATATTGCGGCTGGTGATCTCTGTCTGATAATGAAATATGTTTTTTACATTGGTCCAATAACTAACTTAAGTCACATACGTCTAAGAAACGTCGACCCAGGTTACCCAGATAAGGAACCCTAGTTAGATTTCAGCTCAAAGCCAACTCTAATCTACGGGGAGGAATCCATCGTTACGCTCTTTCTTCATACTTTTACTAAATCAATGGGCTATGGCCAGTCTGTGGCCGTCGCGATTTTCGAGAAAATTCAGAACTGTCCCATTTAGTTTATGGCACTGTAACAAATTGCTAATATAAAATGTTGTGCTACTGGTAGAAATGACACAGTTGTTGTGCGCAATACAAACTCACTTTTTAGCAGTTTTTACGTTCTGAATAGTTTTTTAGTTGCAGTACTGGATCGGGGAGGTGCAGATAAAAAGACTCTTTAGTGTATAACCGGCGCCACGGATACAAGTAGAAGGAAAGACCCGGACCACTAACAGATAACTAATAACTAACGCTAACAGAAATTCACGCTTTTACCAGGTGTCCCCTAAGGAACGAGGGCCCGGGGCCAGTCGTAGTCCCTGCGGGAATCGTGGTCAAAATGTGATGAAAGGGACAATATCCACTAGAATGGAGAAGGACGACCGTGGTTCCGCTTAAAAAATTACGCAAACCGGTCACCGATCGCGGGGCGATGGACACTATCGGAGAGTCTGTAGAGACTATTACTATCTGAGGACTGACAACCCGACATAAAAAACATACGACTTATTCCTACTGCGAAGAGGGGCCACGTTGCAAGAGGGGGCCCAAGAAGCGCTGACGATTGGATAGAGGCGCGCGGTTTAAGACTGGCCCCGTAAAATCGTGCGACGGTTATTCTCGTCTAATGCAAAATATACAGCGAGATATAGAATAGACAAAGACCGCTCTGTATGACTGTGGACAAAGCGCGTGATCCGATATGCGTTCATTGCGACCTTGTGCTGGAAATTTTCTAGATATACCTCATGGACCTGCCAGATCATCACATCATGCAACTGCTTGGTTAGAAAGGGCGCCGGATAACCCTTTTTGTGATGCGGGCGGGCCGTCGTTCAGCATGTTGCATTTGTTCGTTCGCTCTAGACAGATTCAGATGAATCTCATTTTAAGGAATGTGTTTTAAAGTCCCAGAAGGTTACGTATTGTGTCCCCCTTGGGACCCCCATCTATGCATTCAGTCTTGGTGTATGAGAGACGAATTTGGCGGTGGCAGCTGAACTCGTGTGTTTCGTAGACAGCCGCGCCGTATCACTGTAGTGAGTAAATTCAGCTAGTGATAAGAAACAGACATGTTACCGTAAAGATTTTACCCAACGTTTACACAGTAATGTTGTACTTGCTATCAATAATATGCGATCGGAATAGCTCGTGCAAGGCAGAGATCCCGGGCGGCAGCTACGCAATCTTGCGCCCAACTTATCGGTCGCCTATAAAAGATTTGTTTTAGATTATTTTATATTTAACACGCTTCCTGCTGTTAGTGCGAGTGCGTGAAGTTATATTTGGCCAGAAGCTTAATTAGACGTAATAAATTATTTAGAAATAAATTTCGCCAGCTTAGACTAGCGCCATAAATAGCATAGTTTTTAGAACGTGCTACATGTATTGTGTAATCTAATCGTTGTACCAGCTGCGTGTTTCTGTGCATATAATTTTGTATGAGATGTTAGTTCACGACAAATGCTATAGCACTTAACTGAATCTGAACACAGAAAAGAACTTTGACAATGAAAAATTATCGAGTGCGTTTTAAATATCAGTAGGCGTCCTAAGGTAGACCACTGGTCGATATGGTAATTTGGAAACACTTGTGGATAAAATATGAATCGTTTGCATCGCTCCATCATCATCGTATATATCTATAATATGTTTAATAATTATTTGTGTGTTTGGTGGGGTAGTACTAAATTTACAAACGGTATGTGTTTTTGTTGCGATTAAGCAATGATGAGACGAAACAGAGACTGGAATGAAAATGATTCAACGCAATGTTTGCCGCTTGACGTCTGTGCTAGTAAAGCGGATCAGCTTTTAACGACTAAGAGCCAATAAAAAAACGTCACAGTATGTCTAACGAGAACGCAGTTCTTCTCCTTTCCCCATGAATTTCATGCATTCATCAAGCATGGCCCACGCACGAGGGAAACTGTTTAGAAGCCGTTCCCGCAACGACATCAGTGATAGATACATCACGCAGATGCGCACGTTGTAGCTGATAACTTAGACACTCGTTCAATGATGCGTGCATGCATTTGGAGAAAAACTTTAAAATTTAATGATCGACAAAATACCGAAAAGTGTATATATATATATATATATATATATATATATATATATATATATATATATATATATATATAAACAAATTTGTTGAATTGATTATTTCAGTTAAAATTAAAACTGTACCTAGAAATCATTTCTTCGAATGGTTAATCGAGCTTCTTACGTGGGCTCGCTCTTGTAGACATGTACGAAAGACCATCCATGTGAAGTAACAGGATGTCAAATAATCATTTTGCATTTATACCTGATGTCCTTTAATCAATCCATAAGCGCCTGTATGAGCCAGAGAAGGCTGCACCTAGTACGCACCGCACTATTAGCTTTCTTCTCTAACATACGGGTACAATGAAATTTGTTTGCTCCGCTTTGCTCGTACCTGTCCGCAAATCGTCGATGCCTAGCAAGAAACGAAGCACCCCATATGGGTGGCTGTCCCACGAACCAAACAGCCCCAATAAAGGGTGTGGGGTCAACACGATCGAAACTACGTAGAATAATTAGGCAACTGACATATTGTGTCAGTAAAGATAAAACTTTAACGAACTTGAAAGGTGGCGGTGGTGGTTTAATTGACGACGGCTGTGACACCCGCGGCTCGGAAGTACCCAAAAAAAACAGAAGTCGATTGCCCATTGAGGAGCTAGCAGAAAAGCGTCCCGCATTATTGGAAGCGCCGCTAGCGTATCTGCAAGTGTACCTCAGTGATGACCGCGAAAGGAACTGTCAACGGAGTCCCATGCTGTACTTTGCACTCAACCAATGCTCGCTTACGTACCGGTATATCTGCACGAAACTGCAAAAGCTAACACTTAAGGCGCCAATGCTGCGAGACAGCATGGCTAACCTTATCATGCTGCTGCAAACGATGGGTCGTGCATATCCTGAGACTTCAGAACAGATTGCAGGTCAACTGCATAAGTTTATAGCCATCCTGGAGGATCTCGATCGGCAACTAGCTGAACTCTCCAACCTTCAGCCTATTAACTGGCAGTCGATTATAGCTATTATCAACTCCATGGTACAAGAACACATTGTGAACATAGACACCAGGTCGTTTACAGAGTTCATTCCGTCAATGGATGACTTTACGGAGTCGAAGCTGTTAGGTAAAGGAGCATTCGGTGCCGTTTACAAAGCCGTGCTTAAGAGTGAGCTTGACGTAGCAGTCAAGCTCGTACCACAGACGAAGTTTCATACCGGCCCGACAGATGGGACGCCGTTTATGGACAAGATGATCGCCTCGATGATTCCGAATCATCCGTGTATTTGTCGGATATATTGCGCGTTCGTTGCGTCGTATATTGTCCCGGGAACTAGTAGCAACGAGCAAATAATGAAATCGGAAACGTGTAGTAAGGTGGAAAACCCAATGAGCGTTTCGGTTACTGTGATGGAAGCTATTGATGGAGCAAACCTGACCGAGTTGCTGAAGAAAAATGCCACACTGAGTTTTAACCTAACGCAAATTATCATGCAGCAGTGTATGATGGCCATTGAACACCTACATTTTAGTGGTTTCGTCCACAGAGATATTAAACCAGCCAATATGATGATCACGTTTAATGGACGTTTGAAGCTTATCGACTTTGACATCAGCCGCGTATGTATCGGGCATTTCACTAACTCATTCCATGTGTCGTATTTCTGTCGAACCGCCATAGAGTTCCCCGGTGGGGAAAAAGCTGGTACAAAAGCATATATGGCGCCGGAGGTTCATCAGGGCAAGGCCTTTGGTCGAGCGTCAGATTGGTGGTCAGTTGGTATCGTGCATTTTCGATTGGCGTTTGGGCGACTGCCGTTTCGAAATCAACAACTAGTGGATCAGATTATTAATAAAAGGATTGAATGGGACAAATTCGGACGACCAGGGGATACGAAGCAGGCTGTCTTAAAGAATTATTTAACGAAACTTCTGGTGAAGGAACCACGAAACCGATTAGGCTCCCAGGACTATGCCCACATTTTCGATCACGCATTGTTCACAGATGTTAATTGGCAGAAACTACCAGAGCAAGAAATGCGGTGCGAAGAGCTGGATGCAACGTTTGCTGAACGTACGTCGACCATCAACGGAAAAGAACTTCTTTCAATGTGTCCAGGTTCGTGGTGACCTTTAGGTTGATCCGGTAACTACAAGTGCCTAGTTGCATATCATGAATCCAGTGTATTAGATTATAATTAATCATAAAGTTGATTCAATGCTCGGTTCTGCATAAACTCTTTCTGAAAAAGCCTCATACCAGCTTCAAGTTCGGAGCAGGATTCTTATCCGTTTGAGTAATTTTATTCGTATTACTACATTGTTTTTACGTGGCGTCGTCGCCTTTTGTTTTCGGACAATTTTATAGCTGTTGTGTACAACGAGCTACGGTGCACTCGAAATTCCATTATTGTTATTATTAGTATCAATTCCGCACTTCCTCTATACTAATTATCAAATCTTCTCGTCGTTATATCATTAGTTACATCTTCTCTTTCTCCGTGAGCAAATCAGCGTATGTCTACAATTTTCGAAAGAGCTCATCGTGTCGAAGTTACACTATGCGCGCATTTTTTTCAGCTGGAACAACTTCTAAGGAAGATCTGCTTAGATTAAAGAATTTAGCCGATAACTGTAAAGAACATGTACCTTTGTTCACTTTTGCGTCAAAGTATATCAAACAGCTGATTACTGGCGATCCGGATGTGGGAGATGCTGATGATTGTCCCCGATGGCGGCATATCACCGACCTAAAAAAATCTGGTGACGACACGTCTGGCGGAACAACAATGGCTGACAACAGACAAAAACGAGACCCAGTTCAGGTCATCATCCAGGAGATTTACGGATCTAACAGGATGTGCATGCGTCAACGGCGACCTATTACACTTCGGCGACTCTTAAGCGAAGATGGCATGTTCCGTTTCCTCGTGGGCGAGATAGCTGCGGAAACGAAAATCGTCAGCGACGCAAAACTATATTACGGCGATCTTGTGCTAGAAATTGATAAGACGTCACTAACGAATTTACCAGAGCATCGAGTTTCGCAACTGCTCGCAAAGAAAGGGGCACCCTTGGTGCTGTCTGTAGCACAAGGCAACCCGTTCCGTGATGCTGGGGAGGCTACGTTCAATATGTCGCAACTACTATTTCGATACAAGCCACTGAAACTTACGATTCGAGGTACGTTGAAGTCAAGTAGGTGCCAATGTTTTAAAACGGCACAAATTCAACACGGCTTCACGCTCTCTTTGAAAAAAGTTTACTCGACAGGTTCGGTAGAGCTCGTATGGTTCGTAGACAGCCACGAGGTGTCCCTTCAACGGACTGGAACACCAGCTGAGAACCATCAGGCAAATAAGAAAGAAAACGCTAAAGACGACAAGGACACGCCGAATATTTACACAGGCGATATCGTATTGGCTATCAACAATGTGAAGTTAGAGCAGCTTGTCACCGAACCAGACAAAAATGTCCTCGGCCTAGTAGGCAATATGTTGATGGATATCGAAATCCTGCCCTGTTCGCCTATCAGGGTCAGCAATCTGCCTAGGAGCCCCGGAAACGTCTAAGGCCATCTCGCCGTAATAGGGACTGACGTTAGATCTGCTCCGTTACTCCGCGTTTCTGTTAACTGAGCTAAGGTAACTTTTCTCGAGTTTATGGGGTTTCAAGCATTACAGTTGTACGTTAGTTGTTCAACTAGGTCGTTGTAAATTACTTGTGGACCAAGCCATTTCGTAACCGCTATACAACTATCTGTCTCAATTGTATCAGTAATATACAAGGATCTGCAGGCTCAATAGTCTATCCATGTCTCTGCTGTTGAAACGCGTATATATGAGACGCCTGTATAGTACTAACGTCGAGAATTTTCCGGAACGACAACAGTGGAATCTGGACATAAAGGACCGCCCTTTAGCAAAAAATCCTATTTTTTGATTCGTTTACTCAAGGCTGAGGTTGCCAGCTGTCCAGACCAGTACTGAATTGTTTTTCTGTTATATTTATTGTTGTTGTTTAATAAAGGTTTCTACATATTACGTTTGTTTCAACTTTATTGAAACTATAAATATTTTACAGAAGTTTAAAAGACTGCAGCGTTTGCCCCAAAGATTTACAGGGCAACTGCCTTCACTTGGACGAGAGCTGGTCTTAACTGTAAAGTCCCTAGAGTTTTGTCCCTGGCCATCTGAGTTATGTACAACTAAATGCTCTATGTGCAATCAAGCCTGTTTAGCGTGCATAAATAACGTTTGGTACTACCTAAAACCATACAGTATTGGCAGTACCAGGCGCAAGACATTTAGGTAGTTCGCTGACGATCAACTGGAAATCAAATGACAAAATGTACGAGTTGGCAAAATCCTAAAAGGAGGAGTATTGCGTAGATTTTAGTGGTCTGTTTCGTGTTTTTTTTTTTTACTGATAGCAAAAAATGTCTATACAAGGCAGATATGAAAGCTTATTCAGCTTTATACAAGCCCGAATAACCCTGATCTAATGAATCGAGTCAAGCTCATTCACTCCCAAATTATAATTGACGTAAAATAAAAATATGAATAAAGTGACAGGCGGCATAAACAATACAGCTGCGGTTATTCAAAAATTTAACGGAAAAAAACCAAACACATATTTTTGGATAGAGATTACTTCAATGGAAAAATACCAGGTGCAATATAGTATTATATCACGAAGAACACTAATGTTCATAAATATAAAATCGATACGATTTCTGTATATAGTATCTTCATATAGGCCAATTTGGGCCCCCGAAACAGCGCTTCGAAAACTTTGCGGCCCATAGGATTTGTTCTTTTTTGAGAAAAATTAACGGGATACCTATTTTTAGCCGGTCGAAAAAGGGAGCAAAGTCGCGACTTCAACAGTCTCTGCAGACGATATAATCTTGCCTGTATATAGCCAAGTCCCGCACAAGCAGGAAATAAAAAACGAATTAGCTTATATCGTGTTAGCAAATAAAGTCGGAACTAGATCACTTGCTGAAAAGCTCATGGCTTACGGGTTCGTTCAGATCCTGTCAATTATATAAACTACATGACAGGTATGATTAAATAATTAAACGTGTTGTTGGTAGGAAAAACAAAAATATAGTTCTAGCGTAGTAAACGTTAATTGCTTTTTGGTGCGTTCATACTAAATAGCGCTACGTGCTTTTATCGATTACAACTTATGGAGCTCGGTTCGTAAAGATTATCGATTTCGGTTTGATAAAGCCACAAACCGAAACACATAATCCAATGATCTTGTAAAATATCCCATATTATCTTAAATACCATAGTACACAGTGCCATCATGTCAGCATACGCTCTTGCTATATATTTCGCACTTCTTAGCGATGCGAGCCGTAGTTCGAAAATGCTTGGCCACTGTTCTTGGTTATGTGATGATTGATGCCCGGTAGCAGACGAAGCGCTTCCTATGAGTGACCGTCCGTCAAAGGCAACAAACCCAAGGACAGGTTGCTCACAGCATAAACGATGGAACTTAGCACAGCTAGTTAAGCGGTTAAAGGTTAATATCCATGGACGTCGACATAATTCTCTGACTAGTAATAAGGATCTAAGAGGCGGTGCGAGCGTCGCTCATAACGATTGTCACGTAATTGGCTCGCTAGAACCGCATAAAGGCAAAAATCGACTACCGGTTGAAGAACTGGCGTAAACGAAACCCGCACTATTGGAAGCGCCTGTTACATATCTATATGTGTACCTCAGTAATGGGCAATGTCGCCAATGGGCACTGCAGCGGAGTCCAATGTTGCACTTTGCTCTAGGCCAGTGCGTGCTTACTTACCGATATGTCTGCGCGTGGGTCGAAAAACGGTCGCTTAAAGCTGTTGTCTTGCGTGAGAATATGGTCAATCTTATTACACTGATTCACACGTTTGGCCGGATAGATCCCGAAGTATCAGAGCCAGTTGCCGAACAATTGCAGAAATTCATCTGCAACCTTGAGGATCTCGATCGTCAGCTCGCCGAACTCTCTAACCTGCCAAGTCTTAACTGGCAATCAATTATGTCAGCCTTAAAAACTGCAGTGCAGGAACATAAGGCGTTTCTAGACCCCAGGCCACTTGCCGATTTCGTACCATCTATTGACGACTTTACAGAGATAAAGTTGTTGGGCAAAGTAGCGTTCGGAGCCGTATATAAAGCTATATTCAAGGGTGATCTCAAGGTGGCCCTAAAAGTAATACCTCAACTGAAGTTTCGTTTCGATCCTCGAGATGATACGCCATATATAGACAGGATGATCGCTTCGGTAGTTATGAACCATCCATATATTTGCCAGATATACTGCTCGTTTATAGCGTCCGCCAAGGATCAAGCTGGGCTAGTCCTTGATTCACCAACTCTTGGCACCTCCGTTACTGTGATGGAGGTACTTGACGGCGTAGATCTTACCGAACGCATTGGAAAGAACTCGTCGTTAACTGCTAACCTAACACAGGTTCTGATGCAGCAATGTATGATGGCTATTGAGCATCTGCATTTGAGCGGGTGTATCCATAGGAATATTAAGCCGGCGAACATAATGGTAATGCGCGATGGCCGTCTAAAGCTGATCGACTTCGACGAAAGCTGGGTGTGCATTTGCCACACCGGTAATCAATTCCAAATGTCCTATTTCAGTCGGACTGCCGTGGAGTTTTCTGGACGAGACAAGGCTGGTACGGAGGCGTATATGGCGCCAGAAGTCCACCGGGGCAAAGCTTTCGGCCGAGCTTCGGATTGGTGGTCAGTTGGAATCGTGCATTTCAGGTTGGCATTTGGACGACTTCCTTTTAGAAATCAACAAATAGTTGAGCAAATTGTTAATAAAGAGCTCGAATGGGATCGGTTTGGAGATGGCTTGGACGGACATTTTACTGCACTTAAAAATTACCTATTCAAAATTCTGGCGAAAGAGTCTAGAAACAGATTGGGCTCACGCGACTATTCAGAAATTTTCGAGCATCCCTTGTTTGCGGACGTTGACTGGCAGAAACTGCCAGAACAGGTCACCTGGTATGAAGAACTAGATGTTGCGTTTGCCAATCGGTATTCAATCGAAAGTGATGAGGATCGACAGTTGCCAGGTTCGTGATTTCCATTGGCTAAACACGTAGACTAACCACAGAAGTGCGACTGTCGATCGACTAAGAAGTTGGTGTAATAGAGCAGATTGGCAGTCTTTGATGCAGGACCAAAATTTAGATCGAAGATGATGAAACGAAATTTCATATTTGACTTTTACTATCGGTATTTGGTATAATCCAGATTTTCACACTAATAGAAGTACTCATAAATAAAGTAGGCTAACGTGCTTAGATTTACTGATCTGTGCTGTTACCACGAATTTAAATAAGTCTAAGCAGATATACCTATTTTATAAGCACTTTCTTTGTTGCAAGTAAGTTAGAACAAACGTAATACTAATACCCGATTTAACCGAGAAACAATTAAACGTTAAACGTGGAAGTATGAAATGCCGGGTATTATGCCCACTTAATGCCTAGAGCTTCTTTCAGAGTTTTATCCTCAATATTTAAGAGGATATCAATATCGGTAATATTATTACATTATCCAATCGTACTAAATTCAAAACTTACGATAGAAAAATTCAAATCGATCAAAGTCATCGGCATGCTTTCCAGTTTCAGCGCCGACTACAACTAAAAGTGGAACCCTTATGGGCAGCATACTGCGCTTCGATGATATCCCGAAATTTTTTTAACGTTAAATTTATTTTCTTACATTACCGTGGCAGACTCCTTCATTCAGCCTAAAACTAATTGCCTTCCTCTATTAGCGGTATAAGTTTTTGACACACTCGGTCCTTATCATTTCGTTCGTCCCGATGTAACTAGCTAATAATTAAAGCTGTATGCTTTTTCTGTCGGAAGAGACTAGACAGTATTATTGCTTAAATTATAAACATTGGCACAACTATAGCATACGATAAATTTAAATCTCACTACTCTGACCTTATGGTTCGTTGGAAATCTTTCTAGGGAACGGGGTTAAAAATGATAAGCTTTGTCTAAAAGGTTTGATCGACAGTCACCGAGATCACGTTCCTTTGATGACGTTCTCGTCGAAACTCATCAAGAAGCTTGTTACTGGCGATACGGGCCCCAACGGAAATGACGATCTTGTTCGGTGGCGGCATATAAGTGATTTAAAGAAGTCGAGTGACGAAACTATTGGCGGAACGACAAGTGCTGACAAAAGACAGAAAAAGGGGCCGGTACAAGTGATCATTCAGAATTTAACTAAAGTCAGTCTCTGCGGAAGTACACGTCGACCGGTCACACTTCGTAGGTTGCTGAGTGAAGATGGGATGCATCGTTATATAGTAAACGAGATTGCCAAGGGGGCGAAAATACTCGGTGAGGCAAAACTCTATTATGGCGATCTTGTACTAGAAATCGATAAGATATCGATAACGAATTTGCCAGAACATCGAGTAGATCAGCTGCTTGCGAAAAGAGGCTCGCCATTAGTTTTGTCCGTGGCACAGTTAAATCCGTTTCGCGATGCCGGGGAGTCGACATTCAATATGTCCCAATTACTGTTTCGTTACAAGCCAATGCATGTTAATTTTCAAGGTACATTTATGCCGAGAAAATGTTGGCGACAACCTCAGGTGGTGCACGGCTTCACTCTTGTTGTACGAAAGGTCTACCTAGCCGGAGCTGCTGAACTCGTTTGCTTCGTAGACACCCATGAGGTCGCTATGCAGTGCATAGCCTCAAGCGGGAACAAAGATTTAAAACGAAATGTTAAGGACGAAAAAGATATGGTGAACATATATACAGGCGACATCATACTTGCCATCAATAACACTAGATTAGAACATCTTATCCGTGGCAATGACCCAGAAAAACAGATCCGCTGTTTAACTTCGAGTACCTTCCTGGATCTCGACTTCGTTCCGTGCTCGCCCATCAGAGTGACCAATCTGTCCGTTGACCCAGCATTTATATAGATTAACCCTCAAGAAGTCTTGTTAGCAACCCATTTACGTTACACTAAACTGCACAAAGGCTTCAAGGGTACTGCTTTCAGGAGGGTAGCGGCGTCTTTATGACGAGCAAAATGTATGTAGCTTATTTGTGTACGACATTTTGTGTATTACATTGGCATTCACATTTAGTATTTATGCAGTAGATCAACTTTACAAGATTTCTTGCTGAGTTGTTTAATGATATGGTAACCACAAATATTGTACCTCTGTGCAAAACAAAAATAAGAAAACCAATCTTCGCCGTTGCGAAAGTAGCAGCAGATACAAGAATGAGGCGAAGCTTTTAGGATGAGAACAATAATAGGAAAGGACGATATCCGGGAAGAACGTACATCTTAAAAAAGACGTCGGATCAAGGCTATAGCACTTCAAAAATGTCTGCCCCCCTGACGTGATCTTTAATTTTCTTATTCTGCTACACTGTATCTAATACTCAATAAGTACACTGGTACATGGTTTTATTCCGTTCATTTGTAATTAATAACACAATAACACTTGCGAACTCGGAAACAAAACAGTTTTAATCTTTGCAGGAGCTCCTATCTCAAAGTAAAACAATCCTTAATTTTTCGGAATTTCATGCAAACGAGTTAGTCGCTCTAATTTCACACCAAAAACCACGATAGTAATCAATCGAAGAAGATCCGATCGAAAGAAGATAAATTATTGACGTCGTTAACATAATAATTTTATATATAAAACTTTTTACTCATTATTTTTGTGCCTATTGAAAAGAGCTTAAAGATCGTGAATCATGAATGCTTGAAGACAGCTTAACAAAGTTATGTTTGCCTCGGTTTACGCAAGGATCTATTCAAATATTTTTCCATATATGTGAATTTCATCGTGGTGCTATTCTCATCCCTAAGCCTTCACAAAATCGGTAAGTTTTGCGATAAACATGGTCAAACGTTTTGTTATACAATCTATCAGCATCAGCTCCAATAAAAATCTAATATACTCGTATAGGTGCATTTATTACCCAGTGGTGACCGAAAAATGATATTATTAAAAAAAAAAATAACATTTTGAAAAAAATCAGCACTCGTCTTCATTCTCTCTAATAGAGCAGTAATTGTATTTTGTAACTGGTTTTCTCCGAATGTAAAGGCAAATATCAAGGGGCGACGTTCATTTACATCAACCAGAAAACAGTCGGGTTGTTTGTTAAAGCCTTTGTCGCATCCCAAGAAGAAACGTTTGGATTTCTTATCCATAGCTTTATTCAGTCTAACTCAAATTATTTTTTATTTATTATTTATTTAAGTAACAATTTGTTGTCAGCTGTAGACTGATCTGATTTTCATCTCAAAGATGCATACAGAAAAACAATGGACATAACTTTCTCTAGACATTTTTATAACTTTATTACTAACCATCACTACACAGAGGAAGCTACTTCTGGTAACGTTATTCAGCGTTTCCTGTTTCTACTGTTCGGTCACTAGCGGCCAAAACAAATAACATCGAAAATGCTCAAAATCCGTTGACAATGATGACACGCATCTCAGATAATTTCAATCTACTAAATTATGAGAATAAGACAATTTTTCGTTAGTGGTCGTAAGGCTACTCGATTGCAGTAAATAGGACATGCTTAGATAAGTCTCGATTTGATATTAAAATTAGCAATAATATTTGTTAATTACTTCTTTTTTTCGACAATCAGGGGTCCGACGTTATCGCCTGAAAAAAAAACGGAATCGTTAGAGCGATTATTGGTTGTAGTTTTTTTTATTTTTCATGTAAAACTTTCCCTTGGTGTATGCCAGCCGAAGTATTTTCATTGCTTTTAATGAGGCGGCTTTAAAGATTTCTTTTTTTGGTGTATGCGTAAAACTGGCACACTTTCCTCCTTTTTCGATAAGCAGCGATTTGTCGGCCGAAAACTATATCAAAAATCGAGAATGTAGTGAACACCCTTTTTGCTTTTCTTTCTTCAGTTCAACAGTTCTACTGGCGAAAGCTAATCCGTTTTAGTTTTTATACAACGAAAAAAAATGCTACCTAAAAATGCTCACGATTACTCGCTGCAGGGCAATATAGACGGTTGCACCAGGAAGCAAATAGTCCTAGCAGATGAAAATTAAGAAGTTACCAACCCCAAAAAAAACTGTTCTTGGATATAACGGTTTCGGCATATCGGAAACGAAAGTAAACTAACGCATCAGTGCTTTTCTATTGGGTAGTATCTAGTAAATTTATTCGACAAGTGCATTCATCGATTCATACACTCCACGACAAACTAAGCTGAAAATGGTACATTCGATAGGGTCGGTGTAGCAACATAAGATTGCCTCATATATTGAAACTTAGATTTGAATTAGGCTTAAGGTCAGCGTTGTTTTGACATTACACTAAACTCTATTTGACAGTCGCTTCATTAACCGTACACTGTGATCGTGAGAAACGTACACAGCCCATAGAGCCCGGTCTTCAACGAGCCGCGGTATCAGAATCGAAAACAATTCATACTGAATTCTATAAATCATTACAGATAGGTACTAACCGGTCTCCTGGTTATGTTTGTTGTGCGAACCATCACAGTATGGGAATTTCGCGCTTCTCCAGCAACGACAAAATACCTTCTTATCTCCGATGTCCTCGATGTCCATCGTATGGACCACCTTGGGATTGTTCTTTTCAATAGAAGGATTGAGCTATAAATAGCAAATGAAATTATCAAGATGTTATTAATACATGCGAGGGAACATCAATGCTCACATAGGACATGTAGACATATATATTTCGACGATGATTACGACGGTGACAATGTGGCCTTTGACGGCTTAATAAAATTTTATAGCAGCGATTAGAACTAATATTGCAATATAATCAGTGACTGATAATTTATAAATATGATCGTAGCGTTTTATGCAACGCCATTAAGCTAACTGTATATTATAACTATGCTCGATGATGCTTAAATTATCAAAAGATCTCGGGGCAGACCGGTGCAAAATTCAAAGGCGAATATATTACTTAAAAAAGAAAAATACAGAAAATAACATGTGTTTGCCAACGCCAATATCTACCAGTTGTCCGATGTCGGGTGCTTATAGAGCGTTCATAAGCGGCAGACATCTTTCTCAAGTCTAAGCTCTTAACGATCGGAACAGAGTCGTATATTAATCAGATTAGAGGTTTGGTGAGATCGTGCTTTGAATAATATACGCACCTGGTTCTTCCCACACCGCTTCCAGCATCCTTTCTTCCAAAACCAATAGACGGCGCCACCGACAAGCACTAATGTGGTGGCAATTGCTGCCGGTGCATAGGGATACTTAGCTAAAATTCGACGAAAACGCAGTTAGAATGATTTTAGTTTACGTTTAATAGTGAAGTTTGCCGGGTTCCATTTCAATAGCAGTATGAATATATGGAAACATACTTTTATTCATATTCAATAGGAAACAGAATACGTGTTGATGTCATCATCTATGTAGGAACCCTTATAGTATCAAGGATCTTGCTGGCCAAGTTGCATTTTTTCTCTAATTGTCTAATTCGTACACTATTGCACTAGATTGGTCTAGTTAGCCTATATGCTATTAAAATTTCATTACACAGTATCAAAAGTACAATGACCTCCTGAACTGTGCAGGTGCAATACGACGTATCGTTCCGCAGCAACCGCATCACAATTTACTCAGGCTTACGATTGGTCCAAAAGAACACAGAGCTGCAGCGATTTCTGTGCTTAATTATGTACTTTGCAACCCGTTCATTATTCTATAAGGTGTAATTACGCGACCACGTGATTTGTAAGATGAGGTACCACGTTCGGTAAAATCAGCAGCGTGAGATAACGGACGTCTCGGCAAGATAGTTTTTGTGCCGTGATACGTCTCGAAAAAATAAACCTTTGAAGAATATTTATCTATCTTCATTTTGTATTTAAACATAACAGTATCTAACAACAGCGAGTCACTTCCTACAACACAATAGCAGGCAAAGATTTTGTTTGTTTTGTTGACCTAATCACAATGTTCGTTTGGTTTACGTTCCTTCACGCACAGCTGGATGCAGCAGAATTTCGAAGAAAGAACTGAAATTCACTTAGTCTATTATGTATAGTATATATGAAAGCTCTGATCATTCGGTGATGTTTAAATGGTCCGATGCCCTATGGCGCAATTACACAACACCACATTTTACCTTCGATACTGCCAGAGAAGGTTCTAGTCGATAACGATGAATGTTCATCTGAGCTATTCATACAATGCGCACTAAAAAGAAACAAGATTTGAATTAATCGTATGCCTACCGCACATCACGACGATTCTGTTTAATTGTCGCGCATCCAATACCCTACACGACACAAGAAGGCCAGTACGTGTCTTTAAACTGTAATAGGCTCGCTCCGTGTAGAATAACACAGCAACGGTACAACCTCACTAAAACTCTGGCTTCCGCGACCAAAACAATGATCAACAGTGATGAGGGTTGAATCGGCAGGATTTCTTTTCGCGAAGCGTACGGGCGTCTGCATCGTCTGTGGCGCCAAAACAAAGTAAAAACTGGTCCCGCTTTGCACGAGCCAACCTTTAGGTTAGGTGAGAGGCATGGCGCGTGTAAGGCGATTGTCCTAAACACGTTGTACGTATGAGTCAGTTGGTAGACACTTTGTTAACGTCTTTATTTATCTGGAGCTTGCCTTGTTTGTGTCGGTTCTCCAAAATCGACTTCAATTAAACATTCTGCTTTCTATTAATATTGGATTTCCTATTTGTTCAAAGTTAGTTTTGTTTGATCTCAGCTTCTTCGTTGATGTTATTATTATATTCTAGTTTGTTTATCTAATCACACGTAGTATCTGTCCTTGTTGGAGCTTGAACCAGCAAGATTTAACTATTAGATGACGGCAAATATTGTCATTATTTAGTATTTACGAGCGCGCTAAACGAACCTGAATACATTGAGCCATATAACATTCAGTAAGCTGTATATAGTTACGTTACGTATACTTGGCGCGCGGAAGAGCTTCAGCAATCAAAAATTTTCAATAGGGACTTTCTACTCGACTACCTCTGCGAAATTATTTTGAGAATGTCTTCCTGTTGAACTGCTTTTTTTTGAGAAAAACCAGTACGAGTGCAAACCACTCCAGCCTAAAGTAATGCCTAAGTGGTAAGTATCGGACGTAAAATACGAAACTACCTTTATATGTAGAGAAAACAGTATCTAGGGACTAATGGGGTGCTCAGGTGTAGTACGTCACTCGTGACATGCCGCAGTACATTTATTCATTTCAATGAGAATATTTGATGTATATGTTGTACGACCGTAAGGACGTATGTATATTCAGAAAGCAAGAAAAATACAGGGTAAGAAGGTTTTTTCTTCGATTTAAATTCGAAAACAGAGCGGAAACATTCTAAATTCGTCGTGTATGAGCGGGATTACGTGCGGCTAAATGGCCTGCTTGCAAACACCGCATCAGCGCGTGATTCAGCAAAAACCGGTCCCTGCCATCATGCATCAGATGAAGTAGGGAAAGTGGCGAAAAACGCAGGGTTCACTTTGTGCTGAGCTTACATTATGTTTGCTGGTACTGAGCATTTCTACCCTCGAAACAATTTATTACATTATCAAATTATACATAAATGCTAATGTGCTAAGTGTTCTACTTAATCACAGAAAATATATTCCTGGCAAGAGTTGAACGTCGTTCGCGTTTTAGCCATCACGCACTACCTTGTATGCGGCGTCGATCTCCCCTTCGTCTGCAAAATGATGTCTTTTTTTTCTTATTTTTTAGAAAAGTTGCTTCTTCAGAGAAGGCTAATTCGAATCATAACTTCATAGACTTTTCCTTAAGCAACGTAACCACAAGAACTGTACTTCAATTGGCTGCAATTCAAGAAAATTAATTTGTACCATAGCGCCCCAATAGCTACTTTACTTTGCCCCTCATCCAACCGCCCTTAAATCTTATTAAGTATCCTTTTTAAAAATCATAATTAATACATACTAGTGTTCGATACAAGCTCAATTTTAAACATAAACTAACAGGATCAATATATATCCAATGAGATCTACTTGCTCGTAAAGTTGTTTCCTAGCGTGATTCAATTCTATTATCATCAGACGTTATCTTAACTGTTGCATAGGCACTCCGCATCCATCACAGTCTTTGTTATCTAAGACACAGTAGACGAGTGCCTCCATCTATTATAAACAGTAAATCAAATACGATTATCTAGGTTTTCACTTATTCGGAATAGGCCCTTCAGAATTCGCACCGGTGCAACAGATACGTTTGTGACCCGTTACTATCATCAACAGAGACAACGACAACAGCAATTAATTGAAGAATCATAGTCGTACCACTTTTGCTGTAGCACAAAGTAGCTGAAACGCATGGTTTTTTCTTTCGTTCAGTCGCATTAACGGCCCTGCAGATAACGAGTTTCACCGTTAGCTCAACGGTACTTCTTCAGTCGCTCATTGGTCGGTTACTCACAAGCCTATCTCGTATACAACTGCTGTGTGTTTGCAGCTATAGCCAGGCGTTACTCGTTCTTCACTGCAGAAGCTGTTTCGAAACGATAAATTTTCTTTTTATTCGTGTCTTCATTCTGCAGGAAGCATACAGCTGAATCTCAGTCGCCGCATAAAATGTCAGATTGTGGTGAACTTATATCGTGGCACGGTTGAGTATCAAGGGTATCAAATGGACGTATCGCCTGCGCTTCCATTGTTAACGCATGAAAAAAATCTAGAGATGTGGGAATTTAAACAGTTTTTATATAGATACATTTCTAGAATGGATTATATTACGACCTAGCTTACCTCTTAAAAGTCCGTCTCTGATAACTGATAGGGAATTATACAGTAAATAATAATAACGTACACAAGCAGGCGTATGCTGTAATAACGCAGCGTATATGTACGATAGCAAAAAAACATCTCACTGCTGGATTTATCTAGAGCCAGAACGATTTCAACTGTATTACAACAAACATTAGGGCAACGGCGCATTTGGCTCAGGAGCGACCTAATATTAAATTTCTTAAGCTTTATGAGCAGAAGTCCTTTTTTTCATGGGTATCTCATAGTCTGCAAAAATGCAGATACTTGCGATACTTAACATCAAACTTTTGCTGATGAACCTGATTTGAAGAGGAGATTCGCAGTGGCAGTTTACTCAGGTACTTTGAATATAAAGACTAATGCTACTACTTTACTTAACAGGCGTTAACGACTCTAAATTCGTAAATCGAAGTTCGCTGCAAGCTATACACCCTGAAATATACCGTTTAGTCTTTTGGTTCACAAATGATAACAGTAAATTATCCTTATCAATTTTACTTCGATAGTCTAACATCTAAACTTGAAATAACGTTAATTTTCTGGTGAAGAGATGGAGTGTGTATACTGGCAGAAGAAAAATCTACAATCAAGTTCGGGTTCTAAAGCTTTCAACAACGGAACAGACGTTACTATTATACACATTTGCGTCACGTGACGTGTGAGAGAGTACTCTACATTTTACATTACATATCAATTTGTAATAATATGTAATACATAGATGCGACCCCGTTTGCTTTTGTTAAGGTTTTCCCCTTAATATAATTAATTTTTTCTGTTTGTTCTTTCCAGTTCTAGAGCACCCATTACAGCCAATGTTATTTTGTCTTTGCTATTAGGCTAAATATTTTGAGTTTCAGATCCTATATTGTGCTTAGCCATTGTTTCATCATTATAATTACTACTACAATTTAGCAAATAAACTTGGCCTCAGTCTCATTAACTAAGCCTAAAGGTATTTTCCATTGAAACGGTTCTTGATTTTAGTTGCATAGAGTACGCTAGGTCCATTTCGTACGTCCTTGTGGTTCAATGAACTTTCTGGCTATCCTTGTGTATTGCTTCAGTTAGCTGCGGTCAAGAAAAAGCGTCAGGACAACGTATTGTAGCCGTTCCATGATGACGGCGTCTAAGATAAGAGCAAGATAACAGTTTTGATTAAGAGGGTCGCGATAGCGTCATCTTTCCTGCTGCATGATTTTGTCCGGAAGCCGTTTATTACTGGGAAAGACGTGTCGCGTGATGCGGTGACGGTTACCGGCTCTGTTAACTTCATACTCCGTTCACGGGAGAGGTGCGCGTATATAGCCTGTATCAGATGCCCCCTGCCCCACCCCGCCCCGCGGTAACGATCGTCGTCGCTAGCGTCACACCAGCGATTTTTCCTGCGCTGAAAGCAGAGGGATGTGTCTGCGTCTGTGGGAGCGCTGCTGTCTACGTTAGCCCTTGCCCGTTGTGCGATTTTGTAGATACGCACAATAAGCTAGTAAGAAAGTCAACAGAATGGCAAACGAATTGATTCGCTCGTAGAAAAAGCTCGTATGCCTATGCACAGTATGGTGGAGTGAGCCTCTTCTGGTTACGTATAGGTGTGTTCTAGCATAGTTTAAAATTTGTATAAGATATGTGTTATGAAGTGTTTATCAAAAGCATCGCGACGTTCAACGATGAGCGGTAATGGAGGCAAATGGAGCCAGCTAGAACATAATTCGCTAGTTATATATATATATATATATATATATCATTTCATTGAGGCATAAATTAATGTATCTGGTAACAGTCTGTTATAATGTTTAGGTCGGATACGTACGATTACGCGTCTCGGCTGATAGCACCTGACGCCTTAGTTGATTAGGGTGCCTAACATTATAAAGTAAATATTGTATATCCTATATTTTCCGTGTTTTTAAAGCAGTTCAATGGGCCCGGTGGGATATTTAAAAACGTTTCATGTCAATAAGTGTTTTTCTCAGCTCGACTCGTCCGCCCAAGATCAATAGTATCATATAATGAGGTTATGTCCACTTATTCGTTTTGTCTTAGTCTCGTTGCGGGTATCGTAACCATATGCCGTTTAAGACTTTCCTTTCCTCATTTGTGTCTTGCTAGTACATCGTAGAGGACTTCCGCTACTTTTGATGACTGCCCTTTTATCTAATAAAATGTTTACGGAATAGCTCATGTTTGCAGAAATCGGGAGGCCTTTTTAGTTTACTGAACATTACATGAAGAACAGCCAAAATGAGGCTAAGAAATGCCCTAAAGGACGATTTAATATAACTCAACGGTTGCTTAAAGGCGAATGCAAAGTAAATGTTAACCTTCAAAAAGGCCCTAACAAATTACTAGTTCAATATTGTGGTTGCCTGCAGGAAGGGTTGTGGAAGGGCTTTAAGAATATCTAGCAAAGACCTTCGTAAGCGTTGTGTTTGTTTGACCTCCGCAAGGGTTAGCACTGCGCACAACGTTATTACACACCTCACATATTATTCCTTAAGGCTAACACACAGGTAGCTTCTTTCTTTCAGGTAGTGCAAACTGCGCCTATATACTAACAGTGTGGCAAAGTTGATTGATGCTTTCTGCAGACCGTTACCAAAAATGCTTGCTTTTTTCGTCGAGGGAGGTCTCATCTCCACCTTACCCTAATCTATTCTCCCTATAGCGTCTTTCGAATTTCTTCGATTTCTTCGGTATCAGGCTAATTCGGAGAATCCCGTAATCTATCTTAAGTGCTCTAAAAATCCATATGAAATCAAGTAGCCTTTCGCATATATTCTACGGCCTCTAGTGAAACTTCAAGCTGGGACTCTGCTATGCGTAGCGCAATCGGCTACGTCAGATGTCACGCGTTAAATTGAGACTACCCATATACATTTAGTATTTATAAGTCATTGCGAAGGAGCTACTTATGTTTTCATTGCTCGAAAATCCAATATTACACCGCTTTACTGTGCCTCCCAATAAACGTATACAGATGTATGATAGTATATTCTTCGCTTTCTACATGTGTAACTATTGCTACTTTGGGAACGATGCCCTCGAAAATCATTTCGCCCATATTTCGGTTGATCCTGGGGCTATACAAGGGGCTTTTGAGGGCTACACCTTTCTCCGTGTCGCTATGTGCAAGTATCAGTCGAAGTTGGCACAGGGCATTGACAACCGAAAGAGAACCGAAAAACCCCCTAAACTTCATCATGTGCTTAGGTAAAATTATAGAAAAAAGCGAAACGAATCCAAAATCAAAATTGTCAGTAAGTTTACATATATTTATTATGAATCGCTGAATTTATTAATCAGAGGGTGCATCGCTGTGCCAAAGTTACGTCGCGTTAGTTTGGTGCACGATTTGACGCTGTTGCGAAATAACTTCTCCTTTGCCATATGATGGCTCTTTAAGATCTCTATGGCTTCTAGTCTGAAAAAGACATTGCTATGAAGCAATTTCGAGACAAAATAAATAAGTAGAAACTAAATAAATAAATCGAGGTTTATTTATAATCCGAGGACGACAGATGTACTCGTGTAGTCCAATGCCTTGACGTGACCAAAGGTGATGCCCGAATTTTGGATGATAACATATCGTATGGGCTAAATTAGAACACTTACCAAACAATGAAGTTCCACGTTTAGAGTCTCATGAAGTTTCACAACAATAATAAAAACAGCATTGCCCCGTTACACATATTTACCATACATTGATCACTTAACATGTTGATTTTGGTTTACCTCTAACTGATCCGCTGACTTTTTAGGTTAGTCGATATAACTCCAACAATCGTTAGCGTGCACAGTTGCTATCCTCTTAATATCTGTCTGAGCCATGTTGACAAACAATTTCTACAGGCTTTTACTTCCACTTTGTTTGAATGTCTACGTCTAAGCGTACTTGACTATTCCCTAATACTTTATAATAGACAGTGCATTAAGATTAACTAACAAGTGATAGATGTTAGCAATATGATTATGGTGAGAGGCTCATCAAATGTAGTTTTTTTTTTTATAATAATGGAATAAGTAAAGGTTGACTTTTTTTAAGACCTTTCGATTCACACTCATGCACAAATACACACTAACAGAGTTTACATGATAGATGGTTTTAATTTCTAACAATGTACCATATAAGTTTCAACACGTTAGATCGAACTAACGGAATAAAAGAGAACTCAATATTTGGCATCAAGGTCTGTGGGTTGTTTTTCTTGGAAAAGTCTCGGCAGTATTATCACTGGGTACGAAAGAACTCAAGTAGCTGCCTGCGGACAATCAGATGCGTCAGATGGCCTACGATTGTCATTGTCGAGACACTACTGGACATCTGACATCAAAAAAGCTATATAAAAATCTTACTTCTTACAGAACGAGATCGTCTTCAGAAATGTTCGACTGTGCTGTTTTACTTCTGGCAGGCTGCACCTTGAGTGGTACCGCTTATAGGTAAGCTGTTTGTGAATATTGCAGTCTAGCCTTTTTCATTGTATTGTGTAGCTATATGTCGAAATAATTTTTATACCGATTGTTGCTAGTGGTAAGTTTACGGTGTATTGTATTTGTTGTAAAATAATGTGAGACACGAGTTAAGCATGCTGAAGCGGAGTTTGATAATCTCATATTTGATAAATTGCCTACGTTCGACATCATGAATCTTTTTTTTGCATTTACCCATCTTGTAATGCCGCTGCTTTTGTTAATCCTGACACCAGATTTTTTGAATTTGTTGAAATCCCGCAAAACCTACCCCTGCAAGCTGCGCCATTAGCAAACGCAGTAATTTCCGTCCGATCGACGTGGACAACTTTTCCCCTGATCCTTCATTAGATTCAAGTATCGGCCGTCCACTGCATCCGAACTATTTTCTTGCCTTAGGTTGCAAATGTCTACACCTCAACTCGATGAACTTCCTAAGCTAGGACCTACTCCTCCAGGGTTCCTGGAAACTACCGAACTCCCTCTGCCGCCTGGACACCCTTCATCGCACATCGAATCACCTGTGCCACCACCGAGAAGCCGGGGAGGACCTCGTAGACCTCACGAAGGGCCGCCTATTCCACCACCTCGACGCCAAAGAGAGCCTGGTGAAGGACCACGCTCTGAATTTTCTCCTGTTGATCCCGTAAAACCTACGCCGGCCGGTTTTGATTGGTCGCCTGGTCCTCTAGGACTACCGAGCCCTCCCGGACCTCTAGCCGATGATTTTCCACCTTTGGAACCCAACGATCCCAAAGATAGAAACGTCAGTCGACATAGGAATCGGTCTCCCGGAAGTCCTGATGCGCCAAGAAAACCCCAGCCGGGCAGACGCGGCAGATACCCTTCTAGAAGTCCATCTCCTTCAAGGTGAAGAATATCGAAAATCGTCCCTCTTGATTCTCGCTTGTTTTCAAAATATGAATCGGTGTACGACGTCTATATAAAAAAAAGGCGTTTTTAAATATATTCAGTGTGGAGATACTACCACATGTTCGTTTCCAGGTGCAGTTTGTTGTAGCATTTAACAGTGTAATTTTGATACGCGCTTCTTAATCTCCTCTTTAGTAGCATACTGAATTAGACAGCTAGGGAGTATTTCGTGTTAGAAAGTTTGACACATTAACATGTCCAATGTATCTGCAGAGTTTCTGCAGTGGCTCCTGCTCAGGCCTCACCTGCTGGGGCTGCTCACGACTCATATTCGCACCTGATCTTTGCTATCCAGTGGTCAGGTGGCGTCTGCGCAGATCGAAGGTCCGACAATCGATCTGTGAGTGTTGCAGATACTGTGCCACATGAAGGTCTCCAAATCCATGTTTTTTAGTAAATTTTAGTAAATTGTATTACATATTAACAGGTAAAGACAATGGAACTATTTCGACAACGATCGAAATGCCAAGAAAACCATCTACGTACTTTGTATAGCTTACGAGAATTAACAACTGAAAACTGAGAAAGACGGCTCCTCTTTTTGCGTAACTGTCAACGTGCATTATTACATACATATGTACTCTGTTTAATATTGCACGTTGGATTTTTAAACTAAAATGGAGATACCCCAGTTCGTGTAGTGAGCCTTCACATTACCAAGCAGTTCACCTTCTCAAATTAATCTCTTAACACGTTAATTTTTTGTCATTTATATTTTGTTTTGTTAAGCTATATAATGTTCAATAAATAAGGTTAGGAAGGCTCATTTTTTGTAGGGCGACTATTTAATTCAAAAACAGAAATAATATTTGTAAATGTTACGGAAGCAATTCTATATGTACCTTTCATGCTAGTGTTAATTTTTTTCTGTGTATTCCACGCGTCCAAGCTGCAAACGTCCATGAATACCTTTATGACCCTTCCGAATATATGTTTCTTACTCTCGGAAGTAATATTATAGCAGTTGTACGGCAGTATTACAATTACGTATTATTAATGATAAACTACTTCTATTATAACACTAAATGAAATGTATGTTTTGGTAATTGCGAGTATACGTGATATATATTGACTTCTCAATTTCGACCTGTAATTTTCAATGATTTACCACATTCTACCTACAAACATATACCTACAAGGATAACTAAGCGGTATCGTTCTTTGTGCGTCACTTGGTATGACTTAGTGCATCCGTGATAGTCTACGCAATCACTGGACAATACACGGCCTGTGGCCTTCAAACGAATACGAGGGTCCTCTATTCTGTGATGGGGAAAAATTCGATGGCCGTTTACTTAACGTGAGTGCCCTGGGCTCGCTTTACTCTGAATAACAACTTCATTAAGACGAGTAGGATGTACCGTAAGCAGAAGGCCTTCGGTAAAAAGACACATAAGAACATCTTTCTGTTATATATCGGGTACCCTTATCGCATGGTATAGGTTAGATAGGTATTTTGTCAAAAGCACGAAATGAATTAAAGCTTTCATTTTATACCGATAAATTCGTAGTTTTTTTGGTGAACAGTTCTATCAAATTCTATGACCGTATACACGAATGAAGTAGCTCACTGTTAATTTGCCATTGCAGGATATTAAAGACCAGCTGAATCAGTACTGGCCGTCATATACGAGTACTCAGGATCGGTTTTTCACGTTTTGGCGTCACGAATGGCAAAAACACGGCGCTTGCGCTGCAGACGCTACGATGAGCCTTGTTGGCTTCTTTACAAGTAGCCTTAAGCTCTACAAGAGGCACGACATCAATGAGTGAGTTTGTCAACATCTGTAAACGCTTACCTATTTTACACTGCTAAAAATGATGTCCTAATTAAAATTTCTTCTCTCCATATTTGTAGTTAGTTCGATATTTCCTGGCGCTATGTTTGTTTCCATCCAAAAAGAACTGGACAAATCGGTAATTGATGGCTATATCCTATCTTAATTCGAGTGATTGTTTCAAAGAGCTATCAGTCGGCCCTTCAAGGTATAAACAATAGGCCTCATATGCAGCTCGAACCCATAAAATTACTTTGATACGAAAAACAAAGGTCGCTAGCGAATATTCTTGTATCTTTGTTCTCTGTTTATTTCAGATACCTCCGCAACAGCAACGTTATTCCGTCAAAGCAGAAAGTCTATCATGTATGCTTAATACCATCTAATCTAGTGCGCCTTGTTTGACTGTAACTACGCGTTGTGTGTCTGATAGACCCAGTAAATCGAGCCCACTGGCCATTTGTTACATGTAGAATTTGCAAGCATTCTCTTCATGCAGACGTGATAAAACGATGTAACCACACACACCGTGAGCCAATCATTCTCTTGACTGTATTTATTATTTGAAGACGGAACAATTCAGCAAAGTTTGCGTTTGTGATGTTGACGTTTCTAATTTGTTACAGCCGTCAGAGATCGTGAAGGCAATTGTGGACGACTATCCATACAAAATTGATGTTGTCTGTAATCATCGCAAGGTAGAGCATTTTAAGCAACATAATAATGATTTTTATACAAAAATCACTATTCTAATGGCATGATTTAAAACTGAAATGTTTCAATAGAGATAGCTCCGTTAAAATCTGCGACTAATTTTAATACTAATATACAAATATTCTCGGAGCACGAATCTGTTTACTCCCCATGTTGAAGAGCTTCGGTTATACCTAATTGGATCTCTAAGTCTAATTTGATGTTCATCTTAGACTCTCCACGAATATCTGCACCTAACCTATTTTTTTTTAAATTAAATCAGTTTATATTTAATGAACATAATAATAACAATAATTATACTGTTATCATTGAGCTACAATAGAACTTTAAGGAATTTAACTTGTTAAAAGTTAGTTTGTTGTTCCTAGAAAATTTTGGGCATAGGTTGATATAAGCAGAGTGCCGAAAGGATATCAATAGACACAGCTTTTAAAAAATCCTACGTATTTGCAATGGGTACTTCAGCGTATTTTGTTACCTTCTTGTCCGTTCAGGTTACACCTCATCCTGTCCTCATGGAAGTCCGCTTCTGCCTGAATAAAAGTTTGCAACCTGTAAATTGCAAGGGACGTTACATCCGCTGCGAAAACCAGCTAGTCTACCTTCCCAACGAGTGAAGTCTGTTTTTTTTTATTGGACCGTGCTAGGCTGTTCTCCTACGGGAAAATTTGAAATAAATTTTGAAGCACCAGAATGCTGCTTTTGCCTTTACTCAGTCGAACATTGGTATTCTTCAAGTTTGTTAACTTTTTATTTACAATAACCTATTATATATTAAAACTGTTCAACTATTTTAATCATAAATGTTATTGAATAGGTTTTCGCATCGCTTCTATAAAATACCAGCCAACTAGCTAGACGCTTATTATTTGATTAGATAATTAATAGAATTTCGGCAGTGTTTCCTCCATTTAGAACGTTAAAGATTTCTATTTAGGCACTAAAAATCAATAACACACAAAAAAAATGATAGAAATAACATGATTTATTATTATTTTGGTCATTTTGCGCATCATATCGTATGAAGTATAGTACAATCGCTCATGCTGCAGTTGCTCGTTGTTGGCGCTACTGTCAGTGCAGTACCTGTCACTGCCATATACGCAGAATATATATATATATATATAAACATAAGTACGCGCCATTTATCTAGCTCTTCCTGATCACCTTTTAACAGTAGCGATACTCTACAGCCCGCTAACTTTATGTCTTTGAAGAGCGTAGACCGTACTGTGTCAGGAACTGCGGAATGCTGCGTGTAAATTGATTGGTACAGGCACTCTCGACTTGGTCATGCTCCCCTTTTTTCGTTGACCAAGAAAGTTTTGTTTAGTTGCTCTGAAGCCATTTGTAGGCTTTTTTTCGTATACCAAGCCTATTAGCAGACGAGCTAAAATAAGAATAGAATAAACTACAATATTAATTATTTCTCATATATATGTGTGTGTGTGTATACATTCAATTTGTGTTCGCTGTTGAAGGTCTACCCATGCGAACCCACCATCGTAGTGACAATTCGCAAGACTATACTTCAAGTCGAATTAGTCACAGTCACTTGCAATAGCACAGGTAAGTGGCTGGTCGTCAATAGATCGTCTGAACAAGACGCTTGGTTGATGTGGACAAAACTTTGCTTGTTGCAATATACTCCCGGTGGTGACCCGAACCTGCCTCGTGAGAAGCTCCTTTTGAGGTCTATACATTGCAGGACTACTCGCGAGGATCGCTTATTTGGGAATGTGTCCAAATATAAGATAGGCTTTGTTTTTGGGGTTCGGATCCAACCATTACTGGGAGCGGAAAACTGCGCAGCTCTCCGAGCAACGCGACGGAGTGACGCGGAGTTACCGCCGGCCAATGGGCGATATACTGGTCAGCGCCTGGAATGAGCACTCCAGGCGTTCCAGTAGAAAGAAGGTCAGAGGGAAAGCACGTCAAAAAAGCGCCTAAGTCTGAGGTGCGAAATCGTAATGGCCATCGCTCATATCATATAATCAGTATGGAGCGTTACAGTTTATTACTGCTCTTATTGCAGATCATACCAGAGCTAAGAAAAGCTTTTTAAATTTCGCTGAGGTTTTTATCACATTATAAAAAAAATATTGTAGGACCGTTGGAATCTTTAACGATGCAGCTACAAACATTTTATAAAGATCTTCAATCCAGCCACGAATGGTCTTACGTAAATGCTACGAAGTGCACGGGTACACGTCATATTGTAAGTAAATTAATACGATTGATCAACGCTCTACAAAGCACCCTCAATAGGCTATAACAAAGTACAAAATTTCGTATGGATTATTGCAGAGGGAAATCGGTATTTTTCATTATGTTTACAAGATAGATGAATGGTTAGTTGGGTGGACATTATTTCTTAAATTTCGTTTTCGTCCAGGATGATGGTTGGACCCGGGGCGGGCTACGTACGCTCGTTTAGATCCCATCTGATCCAGGGTCAGGTTTAACTCCTGGCGATATTCTCATGAAATGTTGACGCGTTGAAGCGATATCGGCGTTTTTGGTTGTCGTTAAAAGCGGAAAGCCGGTCGGGGGAATCGAATCGACTTTTGACTGCAAGCAGCTGATGGTTCTTCTTGTCGTACCTGTTGTTATGGCACTAGTCCTAGCTAGGCAGATCCTCAGTGATGATCACTCTGGTCGTGATGACTGTGGTTGAATGGAGTGTTGGGTCAGGTCCGTCGCCAGGATTGGTAAACAGCATGGTAGATCTATCCTCTATAAAAAAAGATGGCACCGGTTACCAGCCGTTTGAAAGAGGTGCGTTTTTTACGTCTACAATAGAAGCAAAGGAAGACAATGATGCTAGAAGCGCGGGCATGCATGGATGTGTGCATAAATAAAGCTTGATGATTCGGTAAAATTTTATATGTCCAAATGGGGCATTAAATATACGAATACTTATATAGATGTATGGACGTGCTTAGAAGTATGCCAGCACATACAGTTCAGACCGTCGTACTATGATACAATTTCTTCATTAAACGCAGCATAAAAAAGTGTTAAAAGGTAATGTTGTTCTTAGTGTGACGTATTAATTCGATACGAAGTATACAATGGTGTGATTGGTGCCACATTATTAGATAAAACGCTTACAAAAACACGACCTACTTTTAAAAACTCGTTCCATAATAATACTAGTGTAATAAACTCAGTCCATGTTAAATATGTTGGATGCAAAAGTCATGCTACGCCGTCGATGTCATTTACCATTATTTCGCAGTAAATTCAACCCGTGCAAACATATCCTAAGTAGTCCACCACACACAGCTGCCACGAGACGCAGTGAGTCGTAGAACCTACAATACTACGTGTCCCTAAGATTAGCGCCCACAAATGTTACCCACTAAGCTATCGCTGGTACAACACCCGTTAGTCTAAGCGTATTCGTCAATAGCGTGCATCTCTTCGCGAAAAAGCTCTCTTCGATCAAAGCTCATTTTATAATGACTCACACATTCTGTCATTCCTTATTTGTTATATGATTCTCCTGCGTGATCTGCAGATATTACACGATAACTTCTAACTTTGTCTGTACTATATGACACGTATATTATATCACTAGGAAATTTATTCTATGTATTTTGTTAGAATTTCAACAGACAACAAGCATGATTTTGATCATGTACACGTATTTGAGTTTATTGTCTGTTATTCTTATTTCGGTTTGTTGACTTTCCGTTCCGTTGGGTTGTTTTCTCGCTCATTGCTATTCGATTTTCCATTTATACTCAACAATGATAAGATACTCCTTCGTCTCATCCAACGCAGGACGTATGAATGGCGCCAAAATTCAAAGTACCTCGTTCAGGCGTCTGCTCAAATCGTTTTTTGCAAAGTCACTCTTTCATCATGTACATAGTATTTCCCATTCATTTTATGTTCCTTCCTTTATCCGCACCCTCTTCGCTTATGTCGAATATTTTCTCGTAATACGCCCAATACGTGAGCCACGTAACTGCCTCCTCATTATTATTTTTATTGTTATTATAATGGTTAGTATTCATAAGTGACTATGTAAATTTTCGCCCCACATCGTTATTCCTCCTGAACAGGCATATTGTTCCTTGTCATTTATAATGCACTGCCAGACAACACGCTAGCTTCTTGCCATTTCGCTTTCATCGATTCATATTATTTTTAAGTACGTCCCATTATCCCTTATATTATACCACTAATATTATTATTGTTATCATTATTCATGCGTGTGTTATTGGCTCGTTTGTCTTTTATAAGAATTTTAAGTAGAATAATGTTTTTCGGCAGCGCAAGATGCTTTCGAGATTTCTGTGTTCGGTTTTAGTTTCTTTTCCTAAGCGACGTTCGTACAATTTTCGTTCTTTTTCCCTCCCATCGTTAGAGCTCCACCATCTTATATGCAATTATAATGTACTCTTCCATATATATATATATATATATATATATATATGGGTTATCTAGGTGTGCGACACAAAATTAGCACTCGTCTCATCCGTAAAAGGCCTATACGCTGTTTTTAGCCGCAGTACCGAATCATATGTAACCTAACGACTATTTTTCTAACCAGACAAAGCCTTTTAAAACCTTTGATCGTACCTTTTAACTTAGATTATGCCTAAATCACAAATGACACGAGCTGTTCCAAACGTTCACTTGATGGAAATCTGTCTCTTTAGATTTCTTCCTAATATGACTGCTTGTTAGAAAATTATTTCGAATTCTTAATTTAATAATCACTCTTATTATTATTGCCATAACATCGACATCGTCGTTATTTGTTTAAGACATTTTTCAGCTTCTTCTTCATGTTTATTCATAGTCATAATGTGTATGTCTGTGTGTTTGTGTGTGTCACATTCTACTACTACCGATACTCGTTCACAGGTTTTATTTTCTCCAAATTCGGCCTTTATATTCAATATCAGTTTACTTGATCTGTGACCTCTATTATGCCCCCTCTTCGAAGGTTCATTATGATTAGTTCTGCAATTCGTTATTGTTACATCAAACATTAGCCCACAGTCTGGCTTACTTTCCGCTGGAACCAATACTCTACACACAGGTGTATATCCGTTCTTTTAAGATAGATATATCTATTTCGCACGATTTCGAGTTCGAATAACGGAGGCTATGCGCGGCTCAATGAAGTTAGGATAGCGTTCACGAGACACGATTGGCAGAACGGAAGACCTGATCTGGATATGAAGAGAGAGGAACTTGCATACTGGAAGTTCCTCTCTCTTCATTACTTTCGGAAGCTCTAAAGGTAATGGCGAGCGTACAAGTGGCGACAATCGCTCGATGCCACCTGAGAATCCGGCGCGTCTGCCACGTTTGCCACGCCTGGTACCGTCGCTGCCAACGAGATGTCTACGTTCGAGCTATATCGTACGTTACATTTGTTTGCTTGTCGATTTTTTCAAGGGTTTATATTTAGTGTCTATAGAATAAATTGGTGCAAATGGCACCCATCCCCCCCATACCGCCATGTGTGAGTGTCGTATAGCTTACTTTAGATGTTCAATCCCTTTTAGTCGCCGTAGAGGCGAATACTAAGGGGTGTAACGATGATAATAGTATTGGTAGCGAATGTTCGGGTCCCAGGTCTCAATACCAAGGAAGATATCGCTATGGAGGTTGGCATCGTAGAGACATGGCCCTTCTAGCCAGTTCATCATACCGAAAATGGTAGCCCCTATGCTTTCCGGCTTCCAAAAACGTTTCCAAAAACATTTTTCAAAGAAAAAGCTGTGCATATAAGTTCTTAAGCAGCTCGCCTATATTATACTGCTCTAACTCAATCGTTTTGTAACATCATTGTCCACAGCGTATTCCTTTCTATGAAAACGATTTCTCCCAAACGTTTTGTGTGAATAGCAACTTAGTAATTCTATTGCCATATTATTAGCCTTATTGTCATTACTTTTTTTTCACGGATACTATTCTTAATTTGGAGGAGGCATGAGGTGGTGATATCCTTCTGTGTGTTAGCCACCTGAGGGAACGACTGTTCCCGAAGGGTCATTGATTACGAAAATTACCTTCTGTGCATATCTACGGCGAAAGAGCCATCGTCAGTGTAGCCGTTTTGTCAATATATCTTTTGTAAATACGTTAAATAGCTCGCAACGAGTCAAACGTAGCTGTTGCTTGCTTGTCCTCAGTTTTGGTTGTAAGTACCTCCTTTACTTCCCATCTTTTTTGTGTTTCTCTGATTTTTTGTTTATTGTACGCCGCTCGCTACAGTTTCGCTTCTATCTGGATGTGTCGTGTATATGATGTCTGAAGCACCTGCCATATGTGTATCTATACCACGTTATCGCTACATACGCGTATATATATGCATTGTACCGTAATAGGTAAGGGATTAGGGAATACTATCTCAGCAGCCCCTTTATTTCAGCGGTGGCTTGTTTACGAACGCCACATAGTCATTAAATCGCATTTTCCGTTTTATCCCTGTAATATGATCATTATGGAGTTGTACAAAAACTCAAACAGGTCTACGGTCACAGTATACTCAGACCTTATACAAAAAGGCACATAACACTCAAATAATGTAACTAGGTATATTCTGTTTGTTAGTTCCTCCTCTCTCTCTTTCTCTCGCATTGTCTGTGCTCGGACATCTTTGCTAGTTCCGACATTTCCGCCTGTTCAGTAGTTCGCTTTCACTTGTTTTATCGCATGACGTTACACAGCTGTCTTATCATTATCCGTTCATTATAGTCCATTGTATTTTTATAATAGTAGTTATTATTGTTATCGGTTGTCGAGAGGGCAAGTCAGCCCATGAATGCCGGGGTGGACCTACATCGCGATAACTGAATGAGCATACGCTGTGCTATGTTCGTCGACCATGCCCCCAACGTCAAGCAAAGCCCGGACAATTAGCAACACGAGTTCGCTATAGAAGGTCCGATGCATTTGCTCTTTATTGGAAGCACCGATATGCTTAGATGCCTGTGCCTTTTATCATCCTTTACATATATATATACCTCTGCATTTTTGTGTTTGCTTATCGTAGCCTCATGATCACCCTATCTTCATTGAGACATTATCGAATCCAACTGCATCTTTGTTTGCTTTCTAATGATCATCTTACCTTAGCTGTGTGTTCTAAAATAGCGAAAGGTGAGGTTTTTGGGCAACCCGAACAACGGCCCACAATTTAATATCGTTGTAGAGGAAGACACCGTTTCAACAACCCCTTCCCCCTTCAGAAATGTCGTTTACTTTTACTACAAACGCCCTAAAACGCACACTTTTCGTCTTTACGGCAACCTAATTTCAAACTGTGCCAAGCTTGCCAACTTTTAAATCTAATCTATGTTTTTCTACACCATTTTCTCTTGGCTTTTTTTTTGTAATTGTTATCTAGCCATGAGTCTTACCTACATGACGTCCACAGCAGCTAGTCATGGTCGGCCCACCCCAGCGAGGCAACACCACATGTCTGTAGATTTTATCATCGTTAATACTATTATTTGTATTAATATTTATAATTATATATTTAGTATGCAAATAGATAAACAGCTCAGTGCTACTCTCATAGGAGGCCTACCTGCCGTTCACCTGCTATGTACATTGTAAATGACCGAAGCGTCGTCAGTGCAGGACAGATCCTGTAATACTTGTTCGAGTAACTCCAAATGTCTGCGCGGACCACAGCAACTCGGTAGTGTTATCGTCATCATTATAATTTCATCATTATTTCATTAATTTTTATAATTTTTTGGTAGGAAGGAGAAAGCATAGTCATTGTCTTTGTGTAGTGTCTTTACTAGTCCTACATTTTGGTATTAGTATTATCAATCATACTACTATTTTTGGTATCATTAACACATGGCTGCTTGAAGCTTTTGTCAACTTGCCAGCCATCAGGTTAAGCAGACGACATCTTTCATCTAATTTCATCCTGCGTTCACTGGAAACCTGAACGCTTTAAAATTTTTTGCTCCCCATAATGCGACTGGCTTCTGCGACAGGCCTTTTTAATATGTGTAACTTCGCTTCACGCCATAACATATGAGGCGATGGTGGGTATCCATCAATGGCTTGTACTTGTCTTGTTAGGTGAGCGTGCCTATCGTAATCGTGACACCTCTAACGGTTTTATGAGTGACCATTATTTTATACCGAGTGCCTAAGACTCATATCTGGCTTGCAGAAGCGTTTGTACTCGACAGCTTCTGTCGTTCCTCCCTCTGGGCTGAGTATCAACTAGACAAGAATGTATTGAAGGGGTCAGCCACTCTGTTGTTTGTCTAACACGTCGTTCCGGAGAGACCTTCAAAACATATATACGTTCGCTTTTGGTACGTTTCTAGATTTTCCTCTTCGGCTGTTGATGGATCATTCGACTTCATATGAATTGGATTAATGCCCCTGTTTAGTTGTTCCGTATAGACGAATTCATTTAAGATTATTGTAGATATGTGACTTAATGTTTGCAATATTATTGATTATTTCTTTAAATCTAAGGTGTTGATTTTTTATACATTAACATTCTGCGTAATGTTTCTTGTGAAAACTAAAGTTTCTCGGCATCAGTGCCTCTAGCAACAAGTAGAGCAGTAATGACCAATTTCGAATACATTACGAGTAGCGTGCAACAAACTAATACTGGTATTTTGTAAAACGAACTCTTATTGCAGTGTCTATGACATTATCCTTTCATTTATACGGAGACAAAGCTTTGTCACCCGATTTCGTAACTTTACAATCATACATTCTCCGTAACCTTTTGCTATCAGGAAAAACGTTTCTATTGACTTAAAAATATAGCCTTTTTAATATCAGCTAGTCATGTTCGCCTCTTTTTGGTAGCTTCTTACTAGATAGGTAATTTTCGTCGACAAAAATAAGCCTCAAAGACTTGCAGTTCAGGGGCAGTTCAGTAACGTACTGTTTTCGTTCTGCATCTCCATTGGCCTGATCATCATCGACAATACCGGTGTGGAATCTTTGCTCAGTGTTCATTGGGGCATCCAACGACGCAAACGTCTTGCTACCATCCTCAGTCATTGGCCCTTGATAGTATTCACACATTGGAGATTGCTTCCATCCCTCACCGGTCTCACGGACAAACGATTGCTCTGCAATGGACCACGCATCCAAATCTCGGTCCAGTTAGCGAATCACAAAAGCACAAACTCTACAAAAATTGACTAACCTCTAGGATCGGGCCATTATTCCTCTATACACAGGCCATATACCCAGAAGGGCCATCACCTAGGACACACTTGACCTGACTGACGGTTGTCGATTTTCGTTTGTGGTGTTCGCTTATTGTTACGGTTATTTTTTCATGATGTTACGAATGCTGTTATTAAGATTGATTACTATTTTTTTCGAATCAATTTTGTCTCACTCTCCCATAAGCATTTCCTTCTATTAGGTCCACGCAATGCAGAGACACACACCGTCCCTAAGCAGGGCGAAAAGCGGGGTTTGAAGGCTTTTCAAGGACATTTTTCCTTATCCAATGTCAGCTGCCTAACATGTGATGTGCCACAGTCGAACATCGTGTTAGTTTCAGATTCGCGGGGTGGCAACATCTCGTATCGTCCACCTCAACAAGTGTTCGCTTTTCAGTAAACCTATCAGTACCTCGTATCTTATATCTTCTGGACCATAGTCCGTTACCGATCTGTTTTTTTAACTCTGTCTCTTTTTCTTTTTGTCAAAAGACAAAGTCTTTTGCTACAGATGCGGAACTCGGCCGTTTCTATAGACACAATATATAATTAACTACCATTCTCTGTCTCTTCTCAATTCGTCTCTGTGTAATAGCAATCTACGTTCACTACACGCTTGTTTATCGCAAAGGATTTTTACTGCCAACTACTTCAACTATTATATCATTATATATATATTATATGGCTAGTTACGATAATAATTGTTGTTATTATTAATAATCAGCTAAGTTATTTTTGTCGTTTTTATACTTATTAGAATCAATGTTCTCTCGTCCTGACTGTAAGGGTTGCACACTTTTCAGGTGTTTCCCTTTACATCACTTGTACATTATTGGAGCGTTGCGCGCCATGTTACATTATTTGTAGAGTTATCATTTTCTCGCTTTGTCATCCTCACAATCGCCAGCCTTGTCTTCACCTTTTTATCGGCGTCTGTAGGTTTTCAGATATGGGAGAGGTCTGTGGATGATGCGTACCTGTATTTTGTTGTAGCATTCGCGCATTGATCCTTGTCTTATTCCTTTTCTTGTATTTGTATCCGTCATGGAGCGGTGTGTGCTAATAGTATTTTAATTATTTCCAATTATGTTTAATGGCAAAACTCAGCGTAATAATGCGATTGTGTTAATTACACGTATCAGTCTTCCTACGTCACTCATTGATTTGCTTGTTATTGTTGTTGCCGTTGTGGATAGTTCAACTGTACAATGACAAATACGATGTCTAGTGGGTCTGGATAATGTTATTCGAGCTTGACTTGACAATATTTTCATCGTAATAGATAGGTTACATGGTACATGTGACATGTATTCTAACAGGTCGATGAGCTGATGATCCAGTGAATATTTTTACATAATTAGAAATAATGGCTTAAGCTCAGGCTATTATTGAGAGACCTATGGGTTTTTGGAAATTGTGTGTGTGTGTGTGTGTGTGTGTGCGTGTGATCAAAAATAACATGGTACCAATTCATCTATTGATATCCATTGAACTATTTTTATGTACGATGGTTTGTTGGTAACATCGCGATACAGTTTAATAACGAGCCTAACTCCCACAGACTGTTTAATAATTATCGTCACTTCATTGTATTGCCACACCTGACGACACTGAATATACACTGTTTCGTCTAATTTTCCTTTTGTGTCCATTTTGTTTGCGAAATGTACGTGATTTACTCTGCATACAGCACGTAAGCACATAGGTGAAACGAGCCTTAGTAAACGTTCTTGCTGCCTCTTGCTGCTCAGTGTCTAGCCATGTTATATCAAACACTGTCCAGTTTTACTTAATTTTAAACATATTATTAGTCCTATTTATATTATGGTTACTAAATACTGCCTGGGTCTCTTCTTGTCGTTGCTTTTCTCGTCTTCCTGTTGCTGCTGTGCATCCTGCGAGCATTCGGGAAGAAGGACCAAGAACGCTGCATACGAATCATTACACACAGCAAATAGTTTGCGTCAGGGAGGTCTACGTAGCTGCTCGACTTTCGCAATTGCAATATTTTCTTCTGCCCTTCAGACCGCCTCAACCATTTCGCTATTTCACTACCGTATTTTAACCTATTCATCCTTTTCTATCGTGTTCCACCATTTTCCAATATAATTGACAAATATGACTATTTTCTAATACTGCAACTTCTTAATCTCTTTGTCTCTCTCATTACGGTGACTGTTCTAATAGAACAACCTTTTTGTTTTTTCAGTCTCTTCTTTTATAAACTTTCAACGATTCCATTCGCGCGCCGCATCGGTTCCCAGCAAGGTACGTCGAACTTTTTCGGGGGCTCTATCTCTGCCCCCTTCTATTTGTTAGAACCACGTTTTATTTGACAACAATCATTGTCACTTGATATCGTCGTCATTAATCCTGTTGCTTTTATTGTGCTTTATTTTTGACTTTTAGGTTTTTGTCAACTTCTCAGTCACCGTATAACTCTGGTTCGACTCCATTCGGAGCCTCGACTACTAATTTTCAATGGCGACGGTGGTTTCGTTAAACGCAGTCGTTCCATTCACCACTATATCACTCGTCATCTCGCATTGGCTCCGTTCGAAGACAACTCAGAGACGCAGGCGCTTTGGAGGTAAACGGTTTGTTATGAGAAGAATGAGGATGATTGCATACTGAGGTCCTTCCATACATAAATTTCTTTTTAAATACAGGTCTTATTTTGTGTAGCACGTCGATAGCGTTTCTCTTAATCCTCACTTCTATTTTTTACGTCGACGAATATATCGTTCACCGCAAAGTGACGACCGTATTCTTTTAATATACTGTGACCTTGTCATGTATGCTAAGTTGCCTATCCATAGAGAGCGTTTTTTTTTTATATGTGAGTTTGTGTGCCCCGGCGAGCATCGTTGTCTCTCTTTTTTGAAGAAATATGATAGACGGGGAGGGGCTAAATGAGAACCTTGCTATTATAGTTCCGACTCAATTTGTTATTACCGCCCCGTTACTTCGTCTATGTCATAGCTTGTTAACTTTTAACAGATCGCCGAACTGCGCCTGTCGGTTCGACTGTTTGTTGCCAACAGGGCGTCAACGACGAATGTAAGGATCACATTAAGACTACTTACTTCGAAACTTAATCATGATTAATAAGCACGTTGGTTATCGTTGTCAAGGTGTAATACAATAACCGCAAACTCAATAGGTCCCACTTCTGAACTTTTTAACTTCTTCCGGGGAATGTTTGCACCCATCTGGTTCAGCATTAAGCATTTTCTGCGCGCACTATTTTTCTTCGTTAGCTTCTGCATAAGAGAGAAAAAAGCTGTATGAGTGGTTTCTTTGTTGGCTTTCTGGTTTGGTTGCTTCCTGCTGGCTAATTTCCTCTGCTGATTTCCTGCTGATCAATCCGTTGGCGTTTCCATCGGTTTCCATGGCTCTATGCGGATGAAGAACAGTTACTAATATTTACGAGATACGATGATATCCATTCTCTAGCTTTGCTTTTGGCTTTATTCACTAAATATACTATAGTTACTCATAGTCTAGTCCATTCCTGCTGGCAGGATGGTGGTTTCGGAAGGCCGCGTCAACAATATCGCCATCGGACAGATCATCTTCGTCTTCGAACAGTTCGGGGTGGAAGCTCTCCATGACGCGGCCGATGTGGCTGGCCATGTGAAGCAAATTACCCATCTGAAGCGCAGATCCACAAGCACCCACTATTTGACGTGGCGAAGTGGCATAACATAGATGTCATGCATGGGTGTTTGGGATAGTACCGAATTGACCCAGAGAATTGCAAGGGAGTAACAATAATCGATTGGCGATAAAAAAGTTTCAGGTGTTCGGAAAAGAAATTTAACAAAGTTCATTCGAATTTTTTATTGGTTTAGTTGAAATGGTTGTTTTGGATTTCGGCATTTTGAGATGTGATGAATTGAACATATGGGTGTGTGCATGTGTATGTGTATGCATGTGGGCGTAGATGCGTATGAACCGTTCGGTATTTAAGTGAATAAATATAACAATGGCACCAACACCACCGGGGTTGAATACAAAAACGAGACGTTAAATTAGGTTAGGACGTAGTTCGACCGAAACCGATTGAAGTTCCCCCAACGGCAAGGGTACACCATTTCCAAGGCAGCGTGCGAGTAGAAAAAGCAAAGGTTGAAAAGACGAGTTAGATTAATTGTTAGCAGTAGAATGTTAGAAGGTTAGTATGGTTAGATGGACTTTGCCGCTAGCTTTGCTTAAACCTGCATTTATAAGCTGTAATCATAGATTAAGATAACCAGCTTTTTATTTGGTAATTAATAGCACAATAATTGTGTTCATCGTACAGCGTAATCACGATTCTGAAGAGTTTAAGGGCACTTTTCTAGGCATAAAGCAACTCCTGGCCATCGTCACTTGGTCTAACTAGTGGTGTTTACTAAGAAAAGATTTGGCCGCTTTCATCGAAAGGAACGCACCCATCCATGTACACCAGCTTTAAATAGGTTTAGTGATTTCTCATTAAGCATGAGACCATTCAAAGTTAATCTGTATGAGTGTCACAGTAGCCCCGAGCCGGCTAAGGCTCAAGACGGCCTGAGGTTATTAAGCGCGACGTAACGAAATACAACGCTAGTTTACTTGATAGCGGAGGGCGATGTGCGCGGTCTCTTTGTAGAGGTGGTAGAACGCCGGCTCGGGAAACGCAGACAATGGCGGAGTCATGGGGTACATCGGACTTGATGCCGACTGGGGAAGAGGTGGGGGTGGAGGGACCAAGGCCAGTCGAAACCTCTCACGGCGAGCTCAAAGCGAGCCGACTCCTGATAAATTGATGCACGCCGACTGGCTCATTGACGATTTTTGAGTGCTATTTGTATCGGTACTGGGCGTCAACAGCGGATCACTAAGAACCCTAGTATCATCAGAAGGTCCGGGGTTTTCATAAGCTCCGTCATAATCTTGTCTTCTGCCTTGTTTTTTTTTACCACTCATGATTGGCCACGTCCTGAGCCACATTTGGGGCCGCTCTGGCAGAAGTGTGCATATCACTTCTGTGAGCTTGACTTGATTTTGACGGAGACGGTTATGCTTTTACGAAAGCATTGGTAATCGAAGAGGACGCAAAGTGCACATTTGCTGTTCTCACAGCAACATTGGGTTTCCTGCGCAACATCCCGTGCTCCTGCTGCTCCAATGGGATTCGTATAACGATTCAATCGACTAGTTGACTGACGACATTTTGATGGATGCCGAAGAACCAGGTGTAGAGAGTGGTCGAGCATACGGAGATGAAGAATATGACTTGGACGTCACTGGTGGCAATAGTTGTGCTATGGGTTGCCGCATCGACTGGATTCGTAATAGTTGTATCGACTCCCTAATGCTTGTTGACGACACAGATGGTTGTATTGGTGGTGATTTTAAAATAGTTGAGCTCGGCCATGAGATTTTTGTTGAAGTTGTTGCTGTTGACCCATCAACAACAGTAACAAGTGACTCACCTATATGTCCACTCAGTGCGGAACCTGGCCGCGGCGTCGAGCCGTTGAGCATCGGGTGGCCAGCGACCACATAGTCCGCATGGTCCGGTCTGCCAAGAGCGGGAGTGATGACTGGGGAGCCCTCATGCTGGGCAAGAAGTGTCCGTAATCGACGTAATTGCGCATCCAGAGCGCGATTCTGCTCCTCGAGCATTCGCATTCGTGCCTCCAGGCGTCCTTTATGTTCCCTGAGCATCTTGGCCTCAGCTAACATCTCCTCGTCTTGGGTCGATAAACCATCGACCTCTCCATCGACGCCGAGAATTGAAGGTGTCATCGGCGAGAAGCCTTCGCTTGCTCTGCGTGCCCGGGAGAAGAGGTTAGTTAAGACACCGAATGAGTCACGGGTCAAGTCAGATTATCGGTTAATGACAGGTATAGATGCTAAGCATTAGGGAAAGGATCATGAAAATACTGATAGAGAACTAGTTATAGCTAGTTGACCAAAAAAAAAAAACATAGGACTGGCACGTAGAAGAAGCACAAGTTTAATTTGATGGTCATTTTTATGAGACATGCCGATGTTGATTGCTGTCAGTCGGAACGGGGAACGGTGAGTCGGTCACGAAAACACTGGCTAGAGATGCGTGCATGCGTTGAAATGTTGACAGGCTCATGCAACAATTCACGAATAAATGGTGTGTCAGACCGGCCATATGGATAACTTCAACTGAACACCTACCTTTCCTGTTCAGTTCATTTTCCCTTTGTTCATATATTGGTATACTTGTGTGCACTTATAGGTAAACAATAAACGTCCTTTTTTACTTATATGTTTTGCCTTATATCGAAAAGAAGCCATATAATTGGAACAGACTAGCTCAGGACATCTACGTTATTTGATAACTCCTTTAAGTTTAAACATGTATTAATAAAGAGTAGTTCGCCGAATACAAGCACTAAACGTTAAGAACCGAATGAGAAAAGCAGTCGACGTAAAATTCACCCGAAAAAAAAACAGCAATAACAAAAAGAGTCATCAGAAAAAAACGACGGTAAAGTCCGTTATAATTTCTTTATACTACACTCGAAATCCGAACAATGTTAACATTGTCACTCACCGTAAATCCTGTAGACGTTCATATTCCGCATGAAGTTGCCGATTTTCATGTTCGAGTTCATGAATCATCATTTGCAGCTCGTCCTTCTGGTCAGCGAGGATCTGAGTAGGCGCTTGCGCCGGGCTTCGAGGCTGTAGGAACATGGAGGGCATGGTAGGCGGACTTGATGGGGTCAACAGGACACCGGGCGGCGGTCCGACGACAGGCATCGAGCCAGGCAACGAGCCCGGTAACGTCCCAGATAGTCCCCCAGGTAACGCCCCAGGTAGCGATCCTGGACCGGCGAGGCTTCCGCCAGCGCCGACACCAACTGCCATTGCACTAAGGGGGGGCGGAATGGGTGATGCCCCTAACCCGGCGCTAAGTGAGCCATTTGTCGAGAGACCATGCGCGTCTCCGTTCATCGCTGCACAGTACTGCTTAATCAAGTTATGTTCATCCTCAGAACCGCTGTAAAAAAGTGGGGAGGCAGATTTGGTAAAGGGGACATGTTATATTGAGAAAAAATTCGCTTTTTTACAGGCTGGCGTTCAAATCGTTGAAATAATTTTTTATGATTCACTTCCCACTATCATGATTTGTTCTTACCTATTTGTCATCTCCACATACAAAGACTGGCAACATAGTAAATCAGTAAAACGGCTTCGGTAATACTGGTACGGTTTATGATTATGCTGGCGTCACTGATATGCCAACATCTTTGTAAACGTTTGTATGTGACGTACATACTGCCTTAGGTTTAGAAAATGCATGCCTATTATACTATAAATTATGCTAAAAGAAATATGCCCTTAGTGTAGGAAAAGCCTTCATATACTATTTATTTTGAGCTTTCACTTTAATCAATATGAAATACGTATTCTACAGAATTGCGTTACAGTACGACTTGACTAGCAAGATTTTTATAATAGCCTAGAGTCGAGAAAGACTTGATATGAGAAGGAACTTTACGTACGACTCCGGCGTGGAATTTGATCGAGGTCTGAGCTGAACCTGCGCCAGCTTATTGGCGTAATGCTCCATCCGCGAATGTAGATCCGATGATGGATGAAGCGTGGGTGGCGATCGAGGGGCCGGACTCTCCAGGTCATCTCCCTCGAGCACTGTCTGCACCGGTAGGTAGCCCAATCGTGGGTGCTTCTTGAAGTAGCGTTTCGATTTGAACTTGTTCTTCATGATCTTCGTAAAGTCTCGAACATCCTCACCGGATGTTGTCTGTAAAGTGACATATCAGCGAGACATAAATAAGCATCAAACTTTGTCCATAGATCACCATAACCTTACTTAAGCATTACTTACTAACATAATCTTACTAAGCAAAGGGGCCAATTACGCATCTATGCTTTATCGATTTCACTTTTTGTGTGATATACGCACCCGTAGAACGCCCATTCTAACCTAGTATATAACTATTCAAGCTCTATACCTAACACAAGGTTGTTTCAAAGCCTAGATGTTTCAGTTTTTGTTCCGTCAGGCGCAACACAAAACGATATTGCCCGGGTTTCAAATCGTTTTAAAATCTCGCGCGTACACCCAAATCTGCTAAGAACATTTAAAGCACTGTCCAATATATTACGACAACAATATATACGTACCGCCATGCAGTATTCCTGCATGGGATGAGCGAGCTTATGGCCCTTTTCTCTCCGACCAGAAAAGAAGCAATTCTGACACAAATCCGTGTTGAAGCACTTTAGGCAGCGGTACCGAAAGCCGACAATGGGGTACTGCTTGCAAATGTTGCATTTGGCCTGGTGTTTAGCTGACTCGGCAGCTGCTAGTCGATGTAGCACGGGTAGCCAGACAAGTGACTGCGGCTCCTGCATGAACCACTGTAGGAACATCTGCACGTTGATTTCCCGGCGGCCTGGGCCAGCTCGTTCGAAACACGAACGCACTGATGGCTCGATGTTTGATCCGCCAAAAGCCGCCACTTCCCCCAGTAGTCGGGGGGTCTGCACGCAGTCATGCAGCAAAAGTCCTAACTTCCTCTCATCAGCATAGCCATTCACGTCCGCGATCAAACGGAATAGATCTGTAAAGAAGAACGAAGAGATAGAACAAAGGTCGTTAAATAACTGATGGGTTTAACGGAGGCAGGGCATTTTCTTGCGCTGATGATGAGAATATGCTTGTCATATTAACGGTAGAAGTATTTTATCCGTCTTTCATTGTTATTCTGTCTCTTATTGTCTTTTTATTGTTATTTGATTTTTTTTTTTGTATCTTTTATTGTTCCTGTGAAGCTCTTCTAGCTTTCATAGGAATGTAATGTTGATGAGAGATGTAATAATTCATTGTTGTTTTTTTAGTGATACTGCATCGTATGAGCTGACATTCAAGGTCAGGTTTTGTTCATATACGTGTATCTATTATTTTGTTTTCAACGTTTTATAGTATAATGAATTGTTTGATATTAGATACTTGGCAAATGTAGAAACAGCCAGGATAATGTATGATAATATTTTTGTCATTATAAATAGCCTCACTGGCAGATAAGATAGGATCATCGTATGATAAGAATATGTCCTGCAACGCTTAAAAATTTATTCAAATTCTGTGAACTTTGGACGTAGATTTTCTGTAAATACGTCAATTTATAAGTGTAATACACTCGACTAGATTGCAACTGAATTGGTCAATCTTAATCATTACGATATAGATGAATGTAAAATTTATAAAAAACAAGTATTGCAAAAGGTGCTGCTCAAGTCAGGTCAGGTCGCTTTAAGGTTAATGTTAAGAGCGGTGAGATTTATCAGAGGCTTCCTATAATCCATTCAGACATCCACTTAGGTCCTTTCTTTCGAAAACGGTAACGGCACAGCTGACCTATTAGAACGCTGACTAATATCCTCTCCATAAACGAGAAAGGCGTACAGCCTTTCAGGCTTGCTTCCTCAAAATTCATATCTACGTTTGTTACTACCTAAATCAAATCTATATAAACGATAAGATATTGTAGCTTTTCGATTGCAGCAAGTAAAAAAATACGCCCTGCCAATTCTCTACTTGGCTTATTTAATTATAAGTTATTAATAACATGCTATACGTATCATTTGAGTAGCGTGTTGCTTCTGTACTTACACTTGAACTTATCCTCTAGATTGGCCCTGCAGAGCAGGATGATGCCGACTTTGAATGATAGCACACGAATGTGCCCGGTACGAGTGGCTCTGTAATGATATGTAACAACGATAGGAACGCGCATGAGGAAATCGACCACCGACCGAACAGACAAAAAACCGACCATTATAAGGTAAATAGACAAACCATGTTATTAAAAGAAACAAATATATCTACCTATGAAATTGAGGTAAATTCGTATGTGTCTATAAAAGTCGTTCAGAATCTACAAACGATTATCTGTTCACTATAATTAAACAAGCAATCATGCTTCGAGCAAGAGCAAACAAACGGAACGGGAGGTAAATGCGTTAATCCTGTAAACACGGCCGGGGGTGGCGACTATCAGACGCAACCTCACGTACTGTTGGCGTTTTTTTTTTTTTTAGATTCTGCCAACTACAAAATTGCTGCATTGCAACGAATCGATTTAGCATGGAGACGTCGCCGACGCCCAGCATCGTACTTACGTATCGTATAGATTGAGTAGGAAATTGAGACACATGTCAACACATAGCGGCAGGCGAAGCAGAGCGTCGGAGCCGTGTTCTCGAATCACTCCTTCGAATACGGCTGCTAAACACTGTACCATTTCGTTGACTCCAATCACCTTGTCATTTTGTGCGCGCAGGCCGTGCTGTTCGAATGCCGAAATCGCCACGTTCATCGACACGTAATCCACTGTAATGGAAAAAGAGATGCGTACATCATTCGGAGGTGCCAGGGAAGACAACAGGAAAACCTCTACTAAACGAAACCAATATCATTGCGGGTTCGTTGGAACGGATTTTTTTTTAAAAGCTTGTTGAAATAGAGGAAAAGGAGGCGAAGCATGACCTGAGGTGAAAAAATGTCCTGCAGATAAAGCTTGTATAAAAAAGAAAAAATTGCATTTTTGAACTGGTTTCAAATTGCGTAGTCTGTCTCAGTGAATGGGAAATATTGAAAACAACGTATCCGGAAAAACAGTCGTAGAATCATCCTCATGACGCCATCGTTCGCCATGAATACGTTTGTTACGTACAGCATAGTGCCCGTTGAAGATGTCGAATTTTCATGGCAGTCCGGTACGCAGCAAATCTAACAGTGTTATACTGGGTCAACGCGTCCATTAGGTCGAGCATCTTTGGATGGTCCCAGTGAGTCGTGCCTGCCCGGTGACTGTAATAAAGACACATATATCTTTTAGCACGTTCAGCACTAAGGCGTTGATTCAGACTAATAAGCTCTTGCCACAATTCTGAAGAGTGTGACTGATTGAATGGTTCGACCTATGATTGACCACTATCGCAACTCATGTAACGGCAATACCAGCGATGGTGGCGAAACGAAAAAGTCATGGTTTCCTATGACCGTTACGTTGATCGCTATAGAATAGCTGGAGGATAATGACCGTCTTATATACTACAATTGAGCATTCAATTCGAATACTTACTTTATATAATAAGGCACCTTGTTGCCCGAAACCGCTCGCTCCCAAGGTGGATCAACCGATGCTGAAACACGAAAAAAAAACAAAAAAAAAAATCGTATATTTTTTTATCAGTTTACAGTTCGACTTGGTAACAAACTTTACGATCGAGTTGATTCAATGTAGGAATTCCTTTTTTTTTTTATTCCTTTAGATGTAACAGTTTTAGATAGGAAAGAAGAAAGCCCACAACAACGACAATTAGATTATCGATTTGGATATATGCGATTGCTGCAAAAGCTTAGAGACTACACCTGGATACTGATTCTAGTTGGTCATTTATATGGACGCGTGTGTACAAGTTGCATATGTAAATATGTATATATCTTATAACAATGATAAACACTTTAGTGCAAGGTAACACGCTTGTATAAGATCATGAAATTGCTTGATTACGAACATTGCGTGATAGTGAGGCCCATGCGAAAAAGGGGAAAGGAAACCCAATAAAAACACGGCAGTACTATATCTAATCAGGTAAAATGGCATGCGCTGTTTATACCAGACGAAGTGGTGTTAGACAGGCTCGTATTGATCTAACACAGATCACTAAAACGTCCTAGATGCAGGTGTGTCGAGGGCTCTCCATTAACATTGAATGACAATGATTTGTTACTCACGGACAAACGGAACTAGTCAACCGGCTCCCACTTCCCTATTTTTTTTCCATCAATTTCGCTGTTTATAGCACATCTCCAGTGAACTTCATAGGGTGTCGTGACACTCTTTATATCGTATGACTCAGCTGTAGAAGTTAGTGTCACGACGACAAATTTTCTAGCGTTTTAAGGTTCCACTGATAAGAATAGACACATTTAGGTAAGTTTCACAACTTAACGATTAACAACAGTGACGACTTAGCGAAGTCGGCCTTGCCGAACGTAGCATTTCTAACCACATTGCTCAGACGGTCAGAAAGAAAAACGTGCATCGAATAAGATCTCTTGAACCTTTTCTTGAGCATGTAATCTTTGAAAGTACCGCTGGCGAGACCACTTCATGGACGCAATGGCGTCAGACGTAGGGAACTGGCCGCAGGGATAAACTAGATGACCGTACAATTTTGTTTTAAGCCGCTGGAGTCAGCTTTACGGACAAATACCGGGGCATAAATATGATGAGAAATGGCCAAATTCTGAAATCAGCAAAAATATTCTGAGGAGAAAAGCATAATAGTCAATCAGAATACGACACAAAGTTGTAGAAGCGAGAGGAAAACTCTCGAATCAACCTAATGCAGGGACTACAATCTGCACTCGGTTCCTATAATTGTACAGAGTAAAATGGCGGTCATCGATACTGAGTTAAAAGAAAAGTTAGGACTTCCACGTGCGATACCCTATCCTTTAGAGCAGCTGTTGGCCGTCACGCAATGATATGTTTCTATCTCGAATTATAATGAGATTTAGTCTACAGTGGGCGTTACGTTTAACGGTGATCATAATCGGCACGTACCATTAAGGAAGGTCTGTTGACTGGCGCCCTGATCGAGAAGGGCGTGCTCCAATAGTTTCCTCCTTTCTTCAAGCGCAAGCTGCAGTATCCTCCAGCGGCCGTTCAGGTCCTCAAGTCTGCAAACGAAATCCGAAAAGCAGCCGACAAAGCCACGGTGGTCGCGCGTTAAAACGTAATGATGAAAGAAACAACAGTTATTCAAGTGGCGTTACAATAAAAACAGTTGTTCGTCATAATAAGGACCCCTGTGCCCTTAGGTTATGACCGCTCTGTTGTCGAGGCTGCAGGTTTACATAGAACAATGAAAACATTCACTGCTATTGGGAGCAGAGCGCCTTTTACCGCTAACCCTTCGTTCCTCTTTAACGACAAAAAACATTTGCAGGTCCATGTTTTCTGCTATTATCATATCGGTATAACATCACTACGTACTTTAGCACTATGTTGCTTCTCTCCATTTTTTTAATGTTATTTTTTTATTTTTTCAAGGTTTCTCCTCAATAGCATTGAACATAGATGAATAGATGGCGCAACCGAAGGAAAGACAGACCGGCAGTAGTTCTGTTCAGGAACCCTCTGAGCTAGGTTCCACCTTCCGAAACGTAACCACATCATTATGAAATCGCGAAACTACCCACTGTGTTCCTTCTCAGTCGTACTTTACCTCCGTTTTCTATTTGTATTTTTTTTGTTCTCGTTCCACCTACCTGGAAAGGTTATGTTGCGAGAGGACCACCCCGCAGGCGGTTATTGCTGCCGCAGCCTCATTCATCCCATCCACGACCCCTTGCATCGGTGCGATTCGATCGCGGAAATCCTACAAATGACCAAAAAAGTGGGCGCAGGAGAACACAAAGCAAATAAACAACTCGGAAAATTAAAAAAATTGATATCGTATTATTATTATTATGCATAACATATTTTCCTGAAATAAATCGTTTCAAATACTCAGCAGATGATGCCAAATCTACAACTACATACAATTGAACATAGTATGATCATTAAGACTACTACAGCAGCTCTTTATAATACAAAAAAAGTAATAAAAATAATAAGTCAAGGTAATATAACATTTTTTCTTACCTTGAGATCATCGATCTGCTGAGCGAGTTGATCCATTGAAAGATCGTGAACCCCGCTCGGCCAGTTCTCTTTGGCGGTTTCGGCCGTAAGCAGCCGACTACCGAAATCATCCAAGGCGCGTTGTAGGGCTTGCATTTTCTATAAATTAGTAACAAAATAACGAGACAAGCGATGAATAGCTTCTTAGTATTTAGCCTAAGGTGTATATCACTCAATCAGTTTAGATGTTACGTAGTATATATCCTAAGGTCAGGTGCAGTACACGATCGAACAGTATACGTTGACGCTTTTCCCATAGAGTCTGAATGTAATGTTGGAAAACGGAGCTAAAATAGATTCGAGATACGTCTGAGTTTTTGGATTCCGAATACTTTTCACTGGGCGTGTCATTCTGATCTAGAGAACGTGTCCTGATTGTCAATAGCACTCCGTTCATTAGAAGGGAAATCGCAGAATTCTGCAACTGTCATAACGTTCAACATCAATAGACTCAACGCCTACTATTTAGTTAACTAGCCAAAACTGATTAGACAGAGTAACGAAAGCGGATAATAATGGCCCTTTATTATTTGAAAAATCATTAAATCCATTAGAGTTTTCTCCGCATTATCAACTCACTTTGGCCCGTAGGAAGCTGACCTCATTTTTGGCAATTTTGGCAATCACTTCCGGCGATCGAAACGATGTAAAGCGGGTTAAGGTTCGATCATGACTCACTTTTACATTTCCAGCTTCACCGAAGACTAGAGCTGGCTCAGCAAGAGCACCATACCTTCTTCCACCGCTCTTCATTGTTATCCTTTACTGTACCAATATTAAACGTCCATAGACATTCGTATGTATAGAGTAAACAACAAAATCGAACTCTCATTTCTGAGGCTTCCGACACCCGCGCGGTTTATCTACATGCACAACACTTAGTCCATCAGCAAACGACTTCGTTGCGCTCAAGAAGTACATGGTGTACGCTTGTTTATTATTCACTAGCGAATCGAGCTTCAGTACGACCGGCATGGAATTATTTGACAACAGCACTTCAGCATTGCCACTTGACCAAAGATTTCAAACTCAAGACGTCAGTTAGAAACGCTTTTCAATTGAAACTCTCAGAGTTTGTGGCTTTTTTGTGATGCCTTCCTTGTCTACGTATCACGCAATGATATATGATCCACATACTCAATAACTAGATGACTTGTCGTAGGCCATACGCCGAATTAGCGATTTTTCTTCGGCCATCGGTTGAGGTCTTATTTTTTATATCAACACAGTAGCGTTGAATGAACGGTCGTGAGATAGGTTTCTAGTACTCCGCCTTATTCAGACGCCAGCCCAGGTAAGCGCATTGCAGAACACCGCGCGCGTTATCGATTTCTTAATTTTGGGACAGGGGATACACCACAGTCGTTGGTGTATGTTTGTCTCTTTGTTTTGTCTGTTTGAAAGCGATGAAACGACGATCACTGATTAGGGACCGAACGACAATCGGACCGGCCGCAAGCGTAATAGAGCCTTCTAAAAAGCGGATTTCAGATCTCACCCCCCACTCTTGAATGCTTCGAATTGAACCGGGTTCTGACGAAAGCTGGTGCCGTTGCTTCTGCTTTTACTAATGTCGTCCCAGCGCTGATCAGTTGATCACTCAACACGAAAGATGCTGTGAGACGAAAACAGTACGTACTTTTTATATGACGTATTGTGTAAAAGTGCAAGCATTTTAATGCGGTTGATTCAGACTGGGCCCTTAAGCTTTTTAATTTCGGAAAATTCGCGTTTATATAGCTATCACTTCAGTGATATAAGGGCACACACAGCCAGATCCGAGCTCAATCACGAATTTATAAAAGGATGAACTAGAATCAGGCAACAGAAGCGAAGGCGCGCTTCTAGTTCTTCTATAACATACACAATGTGAAATCAAGGAAACAGCATGTGGATCTACATAATAACTATCTATAGGCCAAAAACAAAAAAACGTCAGAGACAAATATAGCCTGTTGTTTCGTGATATTCGTACAAACGCTCATTCGAATTGCTACTGCCTGCACGTATATGGATGACACACACTAATTTCTAATCCAATACGCGACCGACGTTCTTTATCGTCGCAGACGGCAGGATCTGCATCTGTTTTAATGTTTTTACCGCACACAATATATAGCTATATAGCTAGTAGTTGTGTTTTCCAAATAGGTGACTTTGCTCCCGAAACATTAGCGATTCCGTATTTCATCTCTTCTCGGCAAACGCACCATTGAACGAAATTTCTGGTAGCCGAAATCGCTTCCACAGCTTAAACAAAAATCAAAAATCTTATACGATAATAATCAAACGGCAAACGTTCATGTTGGGTTTGTTTGCTAGGGTGTCTCGAGCAACAGCTCTCTTGCACCTGGACAGAAGACCCAACGCGAAATGCTTGCAGCACGGCTGCTAAAAACTTGAAAGAATCCTATAGCTTTGCTATTACAGAATATATTGTCCACTCAAAAGAAGATATATTTTTTTTTGACATCTTACTTTATTCTATTAGGACTAATTAATTTAGAGAACGGAACAGGCAAACTAGATCCTAAAAACAAATGCTAGTTTCGTTATACTCCATCAAGTATCACAAAAAAAAAAAAACTCTACGATCTTTTTGTTTGCAATATTTAATTTCAACTCATCCAGCAACATATCGTAGTACATATTGCGTTTCATTATGATTTGATTCAGGTAAGATGGACAAATACAGGAACATCACCTTTGAACCGTTTGAGTATTACTTGAGAAAAGATCCTCATCCTTAAATTTGAAGCGGTTTAAGGCAATAAGGATCTAAACTAACTAGAAACTAACGGGTTAACCCATTTGAACGATATCTGAATGGTTGGTATCGGATACCGGCCCTACATTAAGATCAACCTGAGCAATAATTCGTAACGATCGAATAGCTTATAACTCTTTTACTGCTCCCTTTTTTCCATACTCCCATAAGACATCGCTAGTAAGCGCCCGCCATCGGGATAATTGTATTACTATTTTAAATTGTAGACATGTCGATCCATCCACAGTGGTTAAACAATATTTTATAGAGAAGAAAAAGCGGTAGGGGGAGACAGCTCAGCGCAGATATCATGCTTCGAAGCAGACGACGGGAAGTTAACACTGCACTGATAGATTCAGACGAGAATCGATCGAAATCTATTTTCTCGATACGAGAATTTAAGACACCTGCAGGCTTCCGTAGGTCACGGAAACGTCAGCGTCGGAAAAGGTAAAACTAAAGTCAACCAAGGAACAGGGAGGGTGTCTAAATAGGGAGGATTTGATTCTATCGGAAGTTCACACGCCCAGCGCATGATAATGAATAGGCATTTCCTTTTGTAGCGCAAACTGCTGGACACTCACTGACGCTCATTCCTGTACTGGAAGAAACTTTACGCTTAAAATATTATAAATATATACTGGTATTTGTGCAAGAGATTGGCATTAACTCTCTACCCAGGATTGGGATGTATAGACGCCGTAAACAAGCAATCATAGAACGGGCCTTTCGCCTAGGACGGATGGCGCATCGCAAAGTAAAGCCTGACATATACTGCCTAACTCGAAGGTTCCTCAAGTAGGTCATTTCGCATTGACATTTCGCAGCGGTTCACGATATTTTGCTCTCAGTGGCAATAAAAGAAAGCAGAAAATTATCCGAGTATCAAAGCAAAATGAGCAGATTAACTGTCAATTCCGAGCGGATGCTTCCGTTCGACAATATAGGACAGAGTTGACTTGCTCACCTCGACCTGTTAGCGGAATGTTTCATAGAATCGCGATTCTGATCGGCCCTCAAGTAGTCATCACATATATTCGTTATGTTGGAACTGGGCAGCTAATTACTTAGTTCTACGAAGTATGTCTAGGTCCATGTTAGGCATCGGACCTAGGTATAATTCGTTTTTTGCATGGAAGGGCCAGTCGCGTGAATCAATATTTACAAAAGCGGTACTAATGGTATAATCTGACACGTCTATTTAATAAATTAGTGGTTTATTTTTATAATAAAAGATGGTAAACGATATGAACTTTCAAAAGCTTCGAATCTATGGGGATAAAGTTAAGGGAGTCGACGTGCGGTTTCTGCCCACATGGTCACTCTGGTCAACGGTATCTAGACATATCTAATGTGGCCTGACGGTAAAAGGGCCGAGGTTTATTTCACAAAGTGGTAAGACACCTTGATTGAGGCAGTACAAGACCGACTAAACGAGGCCTCGCACCTCAACTGCTGGCATGCAGAGCCGTGTTGGAAGTGCAAACGCGGCCACGGGAAGCGTAATGTCACTTCCCACGTAATGGAACATAGACCGACCATCAATGAGAACCATTGTTGCCGATAGTCCACTGGCTGCTTCGTTTTGTAAGATCGACCAATTAGTATGCGAATAGCGTCAACATAAGGACCAACTGTTAACTCGACAAGACGACAGTCAAATTCGGAACGTTCGGAAATTTCGGACTGAAAAATTAACGGTTGTAAATGATTGTAAGAAAATCGCTAGGTTGGTGTGCATCTCTTTGGCAGGACAAACTGAACAGGAGAACAAAAGCTACACGTCGCGAAACTAACGCTGATGCTAAAATTATGATAGCAAAGAGCTCTGCGAATTTATTTATATACACTCATCACATATGAAGTGTGTGAGGCATTTGAGTCTGCACTTCTTTCGTTGGCTTGGCTTTGGAATAGCGTCTGATGATTAGCGACATCCCAATCGAGGAACATCACGTTAATACGAAACGTTTTTTCGGGAGAATATGGTTGGAACATGTCGCTTTGGCCATTGCTACAGGACAGAGAAGGGCGACAAAACCCGAGGTGATGAATTTTTCCAGCGTGGACGCTTAGCCACAACCAGAGAACGAATAGCCGTAATAGGCATACGATGAATGGTAAATAACCGTCCAGCCAGAACAGCAAACTGTTCGAGTAGTTGTGGAGACAATGGGAGAGACTGTTACCCGACGGATCGTTGCGTGAGAATTTTCTCCTTCTTGTGTTGAGGTACCGGCATAAGGACATGTTTTTCGTAGGTAACGACGATAGATCTACGCGAATGAGTGATGCGCCGACTCGAGTTTAAGACCTCCTCGAAGCCTGGCCG